CATGTATGGTCACAATAAATCAAGAGGACAATCAAAACTGTCAAACTATTATATAAACCAAATACGGACTTATGCCGCAATACGCAAAACCCAATAACTGGTTAAGGAGAGATAATTCTCTTAAAAATATGCTAACTTTACCAAACGGCTTGACCATACCAAACTGACATATAGCATCCCCCGAACAAATTAACAAACCCATATGTTTTCAATGGTCAAGGCGTTTTCTAAAAATCTTTAAAAATCCAATACTTTCATAAACAAGCATGCCAATAGTTACGTCTTCAATCTATTATTCAATCAACTATCAAATGCATGCATGCATGCTATACTCAAAATCAATATCTACTGCATATTCCATTATAAAATTGGTTATACAATGCAAACGTTTATATATAATGACACCAGCAGAGACCTTAACTCTTATTAAATGGAAATACAATTAGAGCAACACATTGGTCAGATACACTGCCTCAAATATTACCATCAAAAATAGGTTTATTTCTGGTATTATTCACCAAATCCGTCATTACAAATGACAACATTGTTGCTCATGAAAACGCAGTATTTTCCTCTTTAATATTTTTATAAAAATAAATTCAAGAACAGTTATTTTGCAAAAAAAATCTTTGAAAACTGCTATCATAACAATACTGAAGCAAATATTCACTCGATATTTTGTATGAAATAAACACTTATTGCAGATTAATGATAACACAAATCTATTTAGTACAAAATGTACATCTTTCCGCCAAAGTGACATCCATGTCATCCATTGCATTGTCAAGTACTTTTTTTTTCTCACAAAGTTTTCACTTTCTATTTATAAAAATAATAGACGTATATATACACATTTCTTCATATTATTGCTTTTATACATAAACCAAAACATTGCTCTTTTAAGAATACAGACGGAAATGCAATCATTTCCCGAATAGTTTAACATTTAACATCTAGTCCTTCAAATATTTCTTGAATGTTCTACCTTTCACAAAATTAACATCTATGTAATACGATATACACATATGAAGCATTCATGATAAACAAAATCAACATTGTCATAAAACACAAATCAGCATTGCCGTAAAAAAACAATTCAATAATTTTCATAATAAAATAGCACTAGTCTGCACATGGCGTTGACTGTACAATCTTTTGTGTATGCGTTCATATTGTATCCATAAGACATTTTGTGCCGGTTCACCATTAAACTGCACACGAAATCCAGTCTTTCCATTTCTTTTCCGTTGATATAATATTCGCTTCACTTTACAATAAGCGTCTGATTGTGTCGTAACTTCATCGGAAGTGTGTGTATCCAAAGATGAACTTCGAAAAAGTACAGGACGTTTGCGATTTCGAGTAGAACGAAGCACAATCGGTTGAGTCTGTTGAGATTGTAACGGTGGGATGATGATCTGGTTCACGATTAATTTCGGCGGTGTGCACTTAAGAGTAATGCTGAGACAGCATGGGCAAAATTGACATTGCCCTCAGGTAATAAACTCTATATAGGTTCTATATACCACCCACATACATCAGATATAGACTCAATGAACGAAATAAAAAAAAAATCTAGAGAAAGCAGCTAGTTTTGAAAACCAGACAGTTTGGGTCGGAGGTGATTTTAACTTGCCAGACATAGAGTGGAGAGACCTATCAAACGCTCAAGTCAAAGAAAATGGTAAAACCACCGAAATACACCAAGACTTTATAGATCACATAACATATATAGGCCTGGAACAACTAGTAAATCAACCAACTAGAGGAAACAACACACTGGACCTCTTTCTTACCAACAAACCTTCAACAATATACAGAACTGAAGTCTGCCCAGGGATTTCGGTTCATGATATTGTTTACACCGAAGCAACAACAACACCGGTTAAACAAAATCAGACACCAAAAAAAAAAAAGAGTACCAATATAAGAAAGCGAATTTTGAGGATATGAAACCTGTAGCAAAAAAAAAATTTGGAGACGACTTTAGTAAAAAAAAATCAAAATAATTCAGATATAAACAAATTGTGGTAGGAATTTAAAGATAATATACATAAACTTACTGATAAACACATACTATGTGGAGCAGGATCTGCTTACCCTTCCGGAGCACCTGAGATCACCCCCAGTTTTTGGTGGGGTTTGTGTTGCTTAGTCTAGTTTTCTATGTTGTGTCATCTGTACTATTGTTTGTCTGTTTGTTTTTTTTATTTTTGGCCATGGCGTTGTCAGTTTGTTTTCGATCTATTAGTTTGACTGTCCCTCTGGTATCTTTCGTCCCTCTTTTATACCACAGAGAACTATTAAACATCAACATGGATACCCTTGGATAACACTAGAACTGCGTAGGATGATGAGAAAAAGAGACAGACTGTACAATAAATTAAAAATACAGGAGAAAATGGAAAAAATGAGAACCGCATATAAAATCCTAAAACATCTTGTTCAAAAAGAGACCCGCAAATGCTACTGGAACCAAGTATTAAACGTAGTAGCTCCTGACGACAAACCAAACCCAAAGAATTTTTTTCTCTTTTTTAAAATGCATGTGGAAATAAACTGCTGGAGTACCACCCTTAAAACGTCAAGGAGTTACATCAAAAGACACAGTTGACAAAGCAAACACATTGAACCACCAATTCAAATCTGTGTTTACAGAAGACAATAAAACTGAAATGTGAAATGAAAACCACACACGCATACTGAAAGAACTGCATCATGGACTAGCATCAACAGTCACTTTCCTGTTCAATAAATCGTTGTTTCTAGGACAATCACCAAGAGACTGGAAATACGCTTTTATCAGTACAATCTACACGAAAGGACCACGACACGAACCAGCAAACTACAGGCCTGTCTCACTAAACTGCATCCTCTGCAAGCTAATGGAGCACATTGTAGAATCCAACCGCATGAAACATATAGAAAGAAACAAAATACTATCAGAATTCAAACATGGTTTTAGAGGTAAGCAATTATGTGAGACACGACTTACAGGTCTGATACATGATCTAACACTCACAATGGACAATCACAAATTGATCTCAGCCTTTGTAGACAACAGGACACAGGCAGTTGTATTAGAAACAAGTATTCAGGTAAAGTGGACGTTACATCTGGTGTACCTCAAGGTAGTGTACTCGGCCCTGTCCCGAAGTTTTTTTCTAATTTTCATCTACGACATCACTGATAACATCCAATCTACAATCCGTCTGTTCGCTGATGATTGTACCATCTATCGACCTATCAAGACCAAACATGACCAAGAAGTACTGCAAAACAATCTGACAAAGCTTAAAAAATGGGAACAGAAATGGAAAATGGAATTTAACATCAGCAAATGTAATGTGATGCACCTAACACGATCCAAACACCCGATTAAAGAACCTTATTACATGCATGTTAAACAACTAGAGGTAGTAACGGACACAAAATACTTAGGAATTACCATCAAAGATGACCTCAGCTGGAACTTACACATTAACAACATTGTAGCCAGTGCAAACCCAGCTCAGACAGTAGAAAAATCTAAAATAGCTCCACAGCAAACAATGATAATTTAAATGCTGTTAATGCACTAGTAAAACCGAGAGTGGAATATAGCGCTGTAATATGGGATCCCTACACGCAGGATAATATCGAAAAAATAGAGCGATTACAGAGAAGAGCAGCTCGATACGTCTACAATGATTACAGCAACGAATCAAGTGTCACCAGCATGATAAACAGGCTTAACTGGATATCTCTATACCAACGAAGAGTTAACATCAGATTATGCTTACTATACAAAATTATAAATGAACTCGTAGCAATTCCAACAGAAAACTACTTGATCCCACTAAACGGATCATCAAGACACTACAATTCCATGGCTTAACACCATCTTCAGCCCAAGACACAGCTATTTCAAGTATTAATTTTTTCCAAGATCAATAATAGCCCGGAATAAACTACCGGACTCAACAGTGAAAGCTCCCATGCACTATGGAAGCTTTCAAGATACTGATTGTATCTGTATCTTGTCTTCATCTCCTTTATGGGATATCAGTAGTTTCTCAATAGAAGAAGAAGAAGAAGAAGAAGTTTTGAAAGGGGTAGTGAATAAGGCTTCGTGATTGATTGTTTCTTCTTCTTCTTTAAGTTTCTAGCGATCCTTCATTTATTGAAGATTATTCGCCGGGCGTCGACTATAAATTTTGATTTATAATTTACACTGTAACCAGAAAAAAAAAGAAACAAAATCAAAAATCATGATAATATCTGTACATTTGAAAAATAACATTTAGATAAAACTATATAATTTAATTTTGGATGTAACGCGTCTTCTGATTGGCTGACGTTGTTTTGTTTATCAGCTCATAGACATAATTTTGTCATGTGACCGTGACGTCATCAACGTTTTTTCATGGTTTACTCCGGTTTAAAATGGAATTTAGAATTAAATTATAAGAAATGACTGTAATATTTTTTCTGTCTATTCGAAATAACATAAAAAATTTGGTGCACACTTTTAAATAACCCGCTACGCGGGTTATTCAGTGTGCACCACATTTTTGATGTTATTTCTTCATAGACAGAAAAAATATTACAGTCATTCCTTAAATACATTTGATAACAATAATAGTTAAGGGTAGAAAATAGGGATGAGAGCAGATTCTGAGATCATACTCTTTAATCCCTGTACTGTACTGCATGAAACTATTTGTTGTGGCAAATGATTCTAATCTATATCTGTACGTTTAGGCTCCGGTTCACGGAAGAAACAATAGTATACAGAATATGCAACGAAAATCAATTTCAAGGCTACGCATCTCTTGTACATAGTCTGGAACAACTGATGCGAGTGTCGACTCGACGACGAGGGTGGTCTTTAACGACCTTGACTACCCGTGAGTGTCTTGCGTGGTCGGTGGTGTCGACTCTAGTGAGGGCCGACAGCTTTATAGTCTGAAGTGCCGAGTGGAGTTTTCTCCCTTAAGCAACCCAGAGGGCGATAATAATGTAACTTCCGTGGCGCAAGTTATATTTTCACTGCATGAACAAAGATTTTTAATTACGGTTTGTTGGAAATGTTTAACTCCTTTACAAACAAATTCAAATCTTTCATCTTTTCACCTCAAGCTGGAAACTCAAGAAAAAGAAAAAGACCAATAGATGAGAGGTAAAATAAAGAAAACATAACTGTCAACCTGACTTGTGGTTCGGTTTTGCCGTAAAAATGGGAAACTTTTTTACTAAATAATAGATCTATTAAAATAAAGATGACGGTTATTGTATACTTTCTATCGGACGCCAGCAAAATATAATAATAAATGTCATTATTATTTGTTAACAGGTTTTCCTCTCCGGGTAACAAAAATTGAGAATTTAATACAGTATAAATTATCTGCCTCTTAGTCTTACAAATAGTAATTTCTTGGTGTATACTTCACAAAATATACACCAACTTTCGTTTGTTGTCTTAGCGGGACCTCAGGGTCAGGTTCAAGTCTTCTTCATCAACTATAAGTGACAGGTCAGCAATATAATGGAGTATTTTGTCTTTTTTTGAAAGACGGATAATAGTTTAGAATATAATTTTTTCTGCCTGAAATACATGTACATGAGCAAGGTTGGGCGGTATTTACCACCCCCGGTATTTACCAGTGGTATTTACCGGTCCGGACAATACTCCCCAAGTGGTCAATACTGGCAAATACTGGTCAATTGAAATTTTCATGCTTCTTTTGACTGACTTATCTATCAATTCTAGTAAAAAAATGGTTGATGAGGGAAAACTTTATTCCTTTGGCATGATTCAATTTATAAAAATGAATGATATTGGTATGTTATTAATTATTAAAACATTAAAAATGACTAATTTAGTTCTTAGGGGTAATGATATTGTATACTTTTGGTATACATATAAAATTGAGCAGCTACCGTATATCAGTTATTCAACATGTAAAAATCAAGATATTTTTTTCTTGAAAAGGTTTGAATTTTACAGGTAAATAGAATTACAAGTGACTAGCAATATAGATTATCAGAACATTACCTATTATATGGCTAACAGGTGTCAAAAGTTTAATTACTTTAACAACTGTCTCCTAATAAATGTTGACATAACAGGAAAAAAGTCATAAAAGTGATTTCTAAAGATTGTTTTAAACAATGAATTAATTCCTGACTATTCAACAGCATGATAAAAAATGTTCTAAATGCAGGAAATGTTTTTTTTAATAAATATATAACAAATATATATATAAAACAATTTTTTAAAATTTTTTAATTGCATATATATCTTTCAAAATAACTGTTAAGAAAATCAGATGTTATATAGTCTCTCTTAAGTGACTGACTTCATGGTGTTAATGACTATATCTGTTGTATGATTAAATTAATATTTGATAAATCTTCATTAAACCATGTTCATGAACTAATTAATTGTGATTTTTTGTCTTATTACAATGTAGTAAATAAGTGACTTTCTGCCTTGTGACTATATCTATCCATTTACTAAGTAATTGACCTGAGGTAGGGGCTAGTTTTATAGTAAAGTCCTATCAAAATTTAAATTGACCAGTATTTGCCAGTATTGACCAGTATTTGCCAGTATTTCCCGGTATTTACCGGTATTTACCGCCGGCATGGTCAATACTAGTATTGACCGCTTTTTTGCCAACCTTGTACATGAGATACATTGTATGAAGTTGGTTGTCCTCTTTTCATGCTCAAGCTGTCAGGTTAAGTAGGGGTTAACAGATTAACTAGTTTAAAAATGTATCTCAATCTGTCTGTCTATGATACAAATTTCCATCCATTTTTTCTAAGGAACTACAAAAATACAAAGCATAGGCCAAAAAAAAATATGTGTGTTTACTGCACCCTGACTGGCTCTAACTTCTTTTCACTGAAAGTATATTTTCATCAGTATTATTCTTGTATGGCAATGTTCTATTTGTTGAATCGCTACCGTAATTCAGAAAATTTGTCTTCAAGAATGGTGTAAAAACAAAAGGAAAACGTATCTGACTGATACAAACAACTTCAACAATAGGCTGCTAACCAGAAATACACATTATATAGGTAAATGCAATAACAGATCTGATTCCAGAACCAGTTGGGCAATATACAGGTTTGCCTATCCATTAAAAAAAGTTTTGCCAATTAACCAACCCTATTTTTTTTACTTTTTGTCATATTTTCCTGAAAATTGCAAGCAAGTTGTATGTTAGCATAAATTTCCTATAAAACATTTTCACATTCATTGCTTATCAACTTTTTGTTTATCGAAAACTTATATATATATATATATCTCATATTGTACATGTATATACATTCATTTAAAGTTCACATTTGAAATTTTTGTCACATTTTTCTCCAGAACTACAAATTAGAAGTTTTTGTCACATTTTTCTCCAGAACTACAAATCAGAACACCCAGAAATTTGTAATGAGCTTCATGTGAGCATGCTGTATGGTGTGATGCATTTTCACACCCATTGCCTAAGGCCGAGAAAAAAAAAATCTGTGTTTCCGGTAACCCGACCGACCCTGATTTTTAGCCCCGACCCTAATTTTTTTATTGGATCTTCAAAAAAAAAGGTATCAACCGACCATGTTTTTGACACAGGCTTCTGTTAATCGACATAATTATTTATCTAACTTGCTTCTACTGGCACAGAAAGCCAGTAAAACATTTTATTTATGTCAAAAGGTATTCCAAATAGGTTAAAATCCAAGAAATTTGCACAGCAGGTGCTTCAAAAACATTGTAAATGGCCGCACTTCCGGTATTTGAAACTAAATACGGACCTGGACTTGGAAAAACCATGATAATTTTCCGGATTTCGTTTACAATGTCAAAAAAAAAAAAAAAAAAAAAAAACCATCCGACCTACCAACCCTATTTTTCAAAATGATGTTACCGGAAACACAAATTTTTTTTTTATGCCTTCTGTAATATCAACTTCTTTTTAATTTTATTTGAATACTTGTAGTGAGCGTATCATCAGTGAGGTGAGCAGTTGCTCAAAATTCATCTTGGGTATTTTTATTATATCTTTATCTCAAGATAGGACATGAAAGGTTGAAAATATATGTATGTAAATTTTTTTCTAATACAGGAATGATTTCATCTCACCTTGACTTCCATTTAATAGTTTATTGCCCTTTAATTACAGAATACAAAACATTATATTGTGTTTATTTTAGTTATGCAGCATATGATCACCAGAATTGTGAAAGTTTGTGTTTCTTACTTAGATATTTCTGCTTTGGAGAAACTTTTAAAGTAACATAGAGAATTTGGAAATTTACTTTATAAATCATCAGCAGATATAGCACATGTGTATTTTTTGGAACTTAGCCTAAAAAATGTGATATACATGCACTAAACACATTCCTACCAACATGACCTATCAGATTTCCAAATGAAATAGATACAATGTACATGTACACAAAAATTAAAATAGTTTGATGCACAGCATTAAAACAATAAGTTAAACTGGTTTTTTTTCAGTGATGACACAGACTGTGAAATAATTGACGTAAAACGACCAAAGAGTTCAGAGCAAAACCCTCAATTGGGTTACAACTGTAAGTAAGAAATTTTTTGTAATTATTGTCCTTTGAATGCATAATACGTCCTTTAAGAAACCAAGGTTTGATCAATGCACACCTTACCAGGTCACATTTTGGTCAATAGAAACATAAAAATATGGGTTCAGCATGTTCAGCGTGATCCATACATGTAACCTGTTTCATCCTTTTAGATTATTAAGAAAACATAACAACAATACAATGTGTATCAGTCATGAAAATGTGCATATTTGCTGAATAATAATGATTTTTGCCAAGTTTTAAAAACTTTAAGGAAAAAATGCAACAAAAAACTACTGTGAAAGTACTTTAATTCGTGGGTATCAATTTTCGTGGTTAGAGCAAAAGTTACATGTTCGTGGGTTTTTAATTTCGTGGATTTTAGTTTTCTAAAAAAAAATAAATAGAGTGTAGAATTGAAGCCATTAGAAACGAAGATTACAAATTGTCTCGATTCAAGGAAATTGCAAAGTAAATATTTAAATTGTTGCATCCATACGCGTGTAGTGATGACACTAATTAACCTGAGATCAAGTGATCAACAGATTAAAGACCATCAAAGGTTTTAATAAGGCCATAAACATGTCACTTAAAGAAAACAGTTACATAAACAAATGCTACAAATGTACATTGAATTGTAAAATTAATTCTTATCAAAAGCAAGCCCAGCATGAAATTGTTATTTCCCGTACAAGAATTATGAGGATATAAAGTAAACACTTTATCATAGCATATCATCACTGGAAATCTGACTTTCATCGATCAAAAATATTTTTTATGAGAATTAAAAGATCAGAAGTTGTACAGTTTAGGTTTTTATACGCCCGTTTACGGGACGTATTATGGTATACCGTTGTCCGTCTGTCCGTCCGTCCGTCTGTCCGTCGTCAACATGTCGGACATTAACTCAAAATTGCTTAAACCAATTTGCATAAAACTTTGGTGAATTGTTTATATCTATTGACGTGAGCTCCCTTTCGTTTTTTATAAAATTTAGATTTTACGTTTCCGAATTATGGGGTTTTATTCATTAAAAAAAGGGGGATTTTCCAGTTTTCGGACAATAAGTCAAGAATGCTTTCACCAACTTGCAAGAAATTGTGGTGAATTGTTTATATCTATTGACATGAGCTCCCTTTTGATTTTTATAAATTTTAGATTTTACGTTTCCGAGTTACGGGGTTTTATTCATAAAAAAAGGGGGGACTTTCCAGTTATCAGACAAAAACTCACAAATGCTTTCAGCAATTCTTATGAAACTTTGGTGAATTGTTTGTATGTATTGATGTAAGCTCCCTTTAGAATTTTATAAATTTTACATTTTACATTTCTGAGTTATGGGGTTTTATTCATTAAAAAGGGGTGATTTTCCAGTTTTCTGACAATAACTCAAAAATGCTGTCACCAATTCTCATGAAACTTTGGTGAATTGTTTATATCTATTGATGTAAGCTCCCTTTTTATTTTCATAAATTTCTAATATGACATTGAGAATTAATTATACTTTATTTGTTTATAGTCTGACAACAGATTTACTAAGTATTGCACAACAGCAAGAAATCTTTAATTGAACATAAATTCAATTCATATAACCAATTTCAAGTTCTTTGAATACATTTATTCAGACACCTATAATATGTCAAATATTTAATTACAATCCAAATTCAGACCTGAATCAAGCTTGAATATTGTGTCCATTTTTGCCCCAACTGATCAGGGTTGGACCTCTGCGGGCGTATCTAGCTGCGCTCAGCGAAGCAGTTTATTAAAGATAAAATGGGTATAATCCTGCCTGCAGTTGTAGTTCATAGTGCATTTGCCCTGAGACTACTATTATAGTAGTCTCAGATTTGTCGATATTCAATGTATTCTCTAGATCATATCGGTAGTCAAACCTACATGGGAATCTTTTCATGTCTTGATTTGGACAACAGTTGTTATATTTCGTTGGACACTTAAATTCGTGGATAGAGTCATCCACGAAAACCACGAAAATTGGTTCATCACGAATAAAAGTACTTTCACAGTAGTCAAAAATATAAACTGCATAATTAAAAGAATTATCAACTTGAAGATTTTACTATTGTGTTGTGTTTTAATGGAACCCAGCCATAGCTACATGTAATACAGTAGACTAAAGTTTATTTCATCAAGTTAGTTATTATAAAAAAGTATTTATGAAAACTCCCATTGATAATAGTTCTTTGATTTGTACAATCTTTTGAGTTGACTTTCATCAACGTATGTGGACTGGTTACCTAAAAAGAAACTTCATATAACTGAATAGGTGAAACATTAATTGTAGCAGGTTATGCTTTTGATTAATGAGATATTGATATTTCATCTTGAACTTTATTATTATTGGTTGTACAGTGTAAGACATCTCCAAATCTGAGTAGTCACATCATTTACAGTTGACTACACTGCCTTCAACAATGAGCAAAAAATCAAACATGTACAAAATGAAGTAAGGTTTTCAAGGGCTTGTTATGACAAAATATGAAATAATTCTAAAGAGAAAATCAATGGTCTGATTAACACAACAATGAATGAAACACGAATATGGCAGACAGCAATTAAAGAACACAGGATAATAAGTTCCTAGGTTGGGACAGGCTTAACAAAAATGTAATGAATGTGGCTGGGTTTGATATGTTATTGAGCCCCTAACCTGCTACAGTGAAATATTAACACAACATATGAACAAAATGTAAAAACCAGTTGGGTAGAGCTTGGACCCTCACCAATTCAATACTACATGTAAGTGAAAAAACAAAAAATAATCAAAAACCAATTGTTCCACGTTTTAATTTTCATATGTTGATAAGAAAATATGGGGAAAATAGTGTATTCTAATTTAAAACCTCACTTCTGAATATAGAAAGTTTTACTTTATTTTAAATAAGTTACGACAGTGAACCAACCTGGAAAATCTTCAATACGATAAAATCCCTAAAGTGGAATTCTTGGGTATGCAGGGTTGTTACAATTAAAAACACAAAATGTGAAAGCAGTTATAACAACAACACTTTAGGGATTGGTACAGTAATTTAATGAGATCAACGTGTTTCGGTGACCTAGTTGTTTTTTTTTTTTTTATTGCACCGAAACATGTCGATCTCATTGAATTACTGCAGCAATCCCTAAAGTGTTGTTGTTATAATTAACTGCTTTCACATTTTATCTTGAATACATGTAAGGGAAATGGGTAGTAACTTCCAGTTAAGTCAAAGTCATTTCTGATTTTAAATGATAGGTTACTTTACACTGATTCCAATATATATTGTTTCAATATTATTTTGCTTGAAATAAGGGAGATAGTTTGTTACAAAAATATCACTTCTGGTGTCATGATAGGTTATTTAAAAAATACTTGAATATGGTTTCTATGAATTGTTGTTTGAAATAAGAGAGTTAATTTGCTACTTTTGTTTTACACAGTGTCACTTCTTGTCTCATATGACAAGTTACTTTATGCCATCATAGACATTTTCTTCCTTAATAAGATTGTACAATTTAATTTCTATTTTCAGTTTTTGCTAAGATGGCTGACTGGGTTAAAAGTAAATCAACCTGGAGTAGCATGTTTGATTTTAAAACAAAAGAACAAAGTAAAAGAAATGGAAACTTACATCAGAATTTCACAAGTGATGGAGACCTTGAGGTGTCAGGAAAACATAATGGTAACAGGATACCAGTTGCCAAGAGGTCAAATCAAGGTCAGACAAACTATGGCAAAAGTCAGATAAAAGTCAAGGATGAAAGAAGTGACCATGCTTCGTCTGAAATACTTAGTTATAATGGTAATAGTCAGGAAACGGGTGGAAATTACAGAAGGGATGGTGATATAATAAATGGTGATGGACGAGAAACTCCTCCCGATGACATCATTCAAGGACCAGGCCCAGGTTATCAACAAGTAAGGACTGAGAATAACCATCATGCATCAAATTTGTGTCAAAAGTACATGTATTTCAGGGTTCTCGTTAAGACGCATGAAAATCGAGCTGTACGCGTCATTTTTGAAACCCTTGAGTCTGTGGGACGCGTTATCGTTTTATCCCCTGAGTCCCAAACACATCCTTTTGCCTAGAAGATTCATGATAAACTAAACCAGAAGTCGATGTTGAAAAATGAAGTAATGCGTAGATAAATATTTTTGTTGACTGATAACTATTTTTATAATTAAACGTATTTGATCCTGAAATATAATAATTCTGTTCAAACTGATTAATAAATATGTAATAGTTACCGATTTTTTAAAACTTTACGATTATTTGAAAAGCTTGAATATTTCCACGTGTTGAACATCACATACTTATCGATTGAAACAAAAGAAAGTAAAAAATTTTGATAACTTGAAATGAACATGATGAAATGATAAAGTATTTCGTAACTGTTGCTTCTATTCATAAAATAGATCGTAGAACAGTGTAGATTAAATATTTTATGGATAAGAATAATTTTACTGGTCTTCAAATGATTTAACATTTTTCTCGTATTGTGCATGTTGAACATTGCGATGGTAAACAAAGGTGAAAAATGTTTTGAAATTGAAACAAATCCGATTAAAAAATGATTTACGGTTACGATGTTAACTTTTGATTTGCTTGTTTTTATCCAAGATTATAGAAATTATCATGATGCAAACATCAAAGAGATTATTAACTCAATGATTAAATATAATTAAAATTGATTTACAATAATTAATATGAACTGTGACAAGTCTGTGTTCATGCAATCCCAATTTCTTATAAATACTGGCTTGTCCAAAAAAATTACATCAGTATCACAATATCAGAGTCAGTCAAAGTTGAAGTCCTCCTTCAAAAGGGAACCTGATGACATTGAATCATCTGAACCAAGTTAAAGACCCAAGAGTCAATGACCCACTACACCAAGAATTGATAGACATAGAAAGATCTCCATAAACAACAACTTCAGTCACTACACTAACTAAACCAAACAAAGAGGGGGAATGGTAGTCTATACAAGTTGTAATGAACAATAACTTAAGAGATCATAACTTTTATTAATATAATAAAAACTACCTATCCAACACGCATCGTTTTAGTTTTATTTCATCATATTAAGACACAAAAAATTACATGCATCCTGGACTCATCAAAATCTATTGGGACTCACCATTTCTAAAAGTGAAGAGTCCCAGGACTCACAATGAAAAATTCCTAGTGAGAACCCTGTATTTATTGGAAAAGGAAACATTGTTTAGTTGTGTATGTAAATGCTACTTTTAGAAGTTTGAACTTACTTTTCCAAATTTTATTTGTATAATGCTAAAGAGGGGTAAACATAAAAAAGCCTGTTATTCTGAACAGTTTTATACTGATTAAGGAAATTTTGATGGCCAAATGTCTTCTAGGGTTTTCTTTAGAAATTGATAAAAGAATGTGCTGTTTTTACCTGAAAACTAGACAGCAACCTTCCAAATGACAAATATCTAGCAGTCAACTTGAAGCAATTTATTTATACATTTTTGTACATATTGAATATAATTTTGAAAAGAGATTTATTTTTCATGTATAATATTTCATTATGCTTAGCCGAGATTATGCACTTTGCTTTATTACAGCAGATTGGTAGAAAGTCTTATGCATCAGTAGTAAAGGGTTCTATGGAGCCCAACAGCAGTGGTCAAGACAGTATAAAACAGACCAGTATGTTTATCTTCATCTAATAAAATGTATGGGAAACAAACTTGGAATAAATATAAGTAAATGTGGTATGATATTGCCAACTATAAGTAAAATGTGGTATGATTGCCAACTATCTACTTTATTCCAAACGTAAAGGATGTAAACAACCACAGTCTAAGGCCGTCAAGAATTAGTAACATCCTCATCATATAATAAACTATCTAAGACCAGGCCTTCAAGAATTAGTAACATCCCCACCATATAATAAGCTATCTAAGGCCATCAAGAATTAGCAACATCCCCACCATATAATAAGCTATCTAACACCATGCCTTCAAGAATTAGTAACATCCTCATCATATAATATATCTAAGACGAGGCCTTCAAGAATAACCAACATCCCCACCATATAATAAGCTATCTAAGGCCGTCAAGAATTAGCAACATCCCCACCATATAATAAGCTATCTAAGACCTTCAAGAATTAGTAACATCCCCATCATATAATAAACTATCTAAGACCATGCCTTCAAGAATTGGCAACATCCCCACCATATAATAAGCTATCTAAGGCCGTCAAGAATAAGCAACATCCCCATCATATAATAAGCTATCTAAGGCTGTCAAGAATTAGTAACATCCCCACCATATAATAAGCTATCTAAGACCTTCAAGAATTAGTAACATCCCCACCATATAATAAGCTATCTAAGGCTGTCAAGAATTAGTAACATCCCCACCATATAATAAACTATCTAAGACCTTCAAGAATTAGTAACATCCCCACCATATAATAAGCTTTTTAAGGCCTTCAAGAATTACCAACATCCCCACCATATAATAAGCTATCTAAGGCCGTCAAGAATAAGCAACATCCCCACCATATAATAAGCTATCTAAGACCATGCCTTCAAGAATTAGTAACATCCTCATCATATAATAAACTATCTAAGACCAGGCCTTCAAGAATTACCAACATCCCCACCATATAATAAGCTATCTAAGGCCGTCAAGAATTAGCAACATCCCCACCATATAATAAGCTATCTAAGACCTTCAAGAATTATTAACATCCTCATCATATAATAAACTATCTAAGACCAGGCCTTCAAGAATTACCAACATCCCCACCATATAATAAGCTATCTAAGGCCGTCAAGAATTAGCAACATCCCCACCATATAATAAGCTATCTAAGACCTTCAAGAATGAGTAACATCCCCATCATATAATAAACTATCTAAGACCATGCCTTCAAGAATTGGCAACATCCCCACCATATAATAAGCTATCTAAGGCGGTCAAGAATTAGTAACATCCCCACCATATAATAAACTATCTAAGACCTTCAAGAATTAGTAACATCCCCACCAAATAATAAACTATCTAAGACCTTCAAGAATTAGTAACATCTCCATCATATAATAAGCTATCTAAGGCCGTCAAGAATTAGTAACATCCCCACCATATAATAAACTATCTAAGACCTTCAAGAATTAGTAACATCCCCACCATATAATAAGCTATCTAAGGCCGTCAAGAATTAGTAACATCCCCACCATATAATAAACTATCTAAGACCTTCAAGAATTAGTAACATCCCCACCATATAATAAGCTATCTAAGGCTGTCAAGAATTAGCAACATCCCCACCATATAATAAGCTATCTAAGACCGTCAAGAATTAGTAACATCCCCACCATATAATAAGCTATCTAAGACCTTCAAGAATTAGCAACATCCCCACCATATAATAAGCTATCTAAGACCTTCAAGAATTAGCAACATCCCCATCATATAATAAGCTATCTAAGACCATGCCTTCAAGAATTAGCAACATCCCCACCATATAATAAGCTATCGAAGACCTTCAAGAATTAGCAACATCCCCATCATATAATTAGCTATCTAAGACCTTCAAGAATTAGCAACATCCCCCTCATATAATAAACTATCTAAGACCGTTAAGAATTAGCAACATCCCCATCATATAATAAACTATCTAAGACCTTCAAGAATAAGCAACATCCCCCTCATATAATAAGCCATCTAAGACCATGCCTTCAAGAATTAGCAACATCCCAACCATATAATAAGCTATCTAAGACCATGCCTTCAAGAATTAGCAACATCCCCATCATATAATAAGCTATCTAAGACCTTCAAGAATTAGCAACATCCCCACAATATAATAAACTATCTAAGACCAGGCCTTCAAGAATTAGCAACATCCCCATCATATAATAAGCTTTCTAAGACCATGCCTTCAAGAATTAGCAACATCCCCACCATAGAATAAGCTATCTAAGACCAGGCCTTCAAGAATAGGCAACATCCCCTCCATATAATAAGCTATCTAAGACCATGCCTTCAAGAATTAGCAACATCCCCACAATATAATAAGCTATCTAAGACCATGCCTTCAAGAATTAGCAACATCCCCACCATATAATAAGCTATCTAAGACCTTCAAGAATTAGCAACATCCCCACCATATAATAAGCTATCTAAGACCATGCCTTCAAGAATTAGCAACATCCCCACCATATAATAAGCTATCTAAGACCATGCCTTCAAGAATTAGCAACATCCCCACCATATAATAAGCTATCTAAGACCTTCAAGAATTAGCAACATCCCCATCATATAACAAGCTATCTAAGACCATGCCTTCAAGAATTAGCAACATCCTCACTATATAACAAGCTATCTAAGACCATGCCTTCAAGAATTAGCAACATCCCCACCATATAATAAGCTATCTAAGACTTTCAAGAATTAGTAACATCCCCACCATATAATAAGCTATCTAAGACCATGACTTCAAGAATTAGCAACATCCCCACCATATAATAAGCTATCTAAGACCAGGCCTTCAAGAATTAGCAACATCCCCATCATAAAATTAGCTATTTTAGACCATGCCTTCAAGAATTAGCAACATCCCCACCATATAATAAGCTATCTAAGACCAGGCCTTCAAGAATTACCAACAGCCCCACCATATAATAAGCTATCTAAGACCATGCCTTCAAGAATTAGTAATATCCCCACCATATAATAAGCTATCTAAGACCAGGCCTTCAAGAATTAGCAACATCCCCACCATATAATAGGCTATCAAAGACCAGGCATTCAAGAATTACCAACATCCCCACCATATAATAAGCTATCTAAGACCAGGCCTTCAAGAATTAGCAACATCCCCATCATAAAATAAGCTATCTAAGACCATGCCTTCAAGAATTAGCAACATCCCCACCATATAATAAGCTATCCTAAGACCAGGCCTTCAAGAATTAGCAACATCCCCACCATATAATAAGCTATCTAAGACCAGGCCTTCAAGAATTAGCAACATCCCCACCATATAATAAGCTATCTAAGACCAGGCCTTCAAGAATTAGTAACATCCCCACCATATAATAAGCTATCTAAGACCAGGCCTTCAAGAATTACCAACATCCCCACCATATAATAAGCTATCTAAGACCAGGCCTTCAAGAATTAGTAACATCCCCACCATATAATAAGCTATCTAAGACCAGGCCTTCAAGAATTAGCAACATCCCCACCATATAATAAGCTATCTAAGACCTGGATAACAAAATGTGAAACAATTGCCTGATTACAGTTAAAAAAATTAAAACAAAAAACATATGTGGTAGACAGAAACCAAGGACAACCACTGAACTACAGGCTCGTGTCTTGGGTGTTTGTGAGTGCTCAACCCTGGGTCAGTTGTGTAACAATACAACATAAAGATAAACAATAAAAAAATCAGTAACTTCAAGTAGGGGAGGGGCCCCTGGTGGACAAGTGGTCTAAGAAGTTGTGAGTTCATACCATGCCCATGGCAGGTGCGTTAAACTCAAATCTTAATTGTCTAGGATTGCAAGATTTCCTGCCAATGGTCTGTGGTTTTCTCCAGGCACTCCGGCTTCCTCCATCAATAAGAACTGGCAGCCACAATATAGCCAAGAGTGCTGAAAGTGGCATTTAATGCCAAAATCAATTAATCAATCTAGTAGCCAGCAGTGAGCAGGTGTTAATAACAAAAGTAACAAAATCCACCCCATCTGTAGTGTTTAGATATTAATATTTTTTAAGCAATCATAAAGGAAATTTTTATTTTTGAGGACTGAATAATGCCTATGAGGAAAAAGTTGCTCATAAATTTTATAACTTTTTTGCAGATCATCGACCAGGGAGTGACAAAAGAAAGCAGAGATCATTGTTTGAGAAGAAAAAGCCTGAAGTACTTTTCACAGCAACTGAGGTAAAAATAATCAACAAAAATATTACTAAAGTCATACTTCTTGGGGGCTGAAAAGTTGTACGATTATTGCGCTCATTAGTCTAAAGTGAGAGAATTTGATGAGTTTAAACATATTGACATATTCTTGTTAGTTACACCCCTTGGTTACCTTACAAGTAGTGTTGTATTTCATTTCCAGATGATAATGATAACACCCCTTCACCAAATCTTTTGAAATCTGAATGCAATGTTTTTGATGGTTTTTACATTTACCATGTAAGAGTTTTGGCTATTATTTACCTAAAAAGTTGACCAAATCTTTTGAAACTAAATGTCATGTACCATACAATACAGGTCCGTTGGAATTTGGCATATTTACATTTACTGATCAAGAGTTATACCCCTTTGTTACCTTAAAAATTGGTATTTCTTTCAAGATGATAATTTAAAAGTACCACTTGACCAATTAAAAAAAAAATTGTACAGAATGTCATGAATCATAAAATACAGGTCATTTTTTATTTTGATGGTATTGACATTAACTTTTCAAGAGTTATGTCCCTTAGTTACCTAAAAATAAGATTTCATTTGGTTCTCATGTGATAATGAAATACCATTTGAAGAAATCTTTTTACACAATGTTATGAAACATAAAATACAATTTAAATTTTGGTGTTGGCATATACTGTGGAGGTACCAGTCTTGTATTACATGCACACACTTTTACTTGTGAACACCATGGTTTTTATACGACCGCAAAAAATTTTGCGGCCATATATTGGTATCACATCGTTGTCGTCGTCCTAAGACATTTCGTTTCCAGACAGTAACATTAGTATTAGTACATTGTAAATAGAAATCTATGAAATTTAAACATAAGGTTTATGACCACAAAAGGAAGGTTGGGATTGATTTTGGGGGTTATGGTCCCAACAGTTTAGGAATTATGGGCCAAAAAGGGGCCCAAATAAGCATTTTTCTAGTTTCATGACTATAACTTGTGGAACAGTGTATGGATCTCTTTGAAATTATACCACAAAGGGATGATTAGGATTGGCTTTGGGGGGTTATGGCTCAAACCGTTTAGGAATTAGGGGCAAAAAAGTGAGAAAAAACAAGGGTGTCCTGGTTAATGGACAATTACTTAAGTACAAATTACAGTGTAAGGGAGGTAATTCAACCTTAACTTTGAATTACCTCCCTTACACTGCTTTTAAATTATGTATAAAGAATTTTTGTATTGTCTTTAGGTGATTAGCTGTCAATTAATTTTTAGAAGTTACTATTTTAATAATTTTAAAAATGCTGATTAAGGTAAATTAATTTTAGCTATGATTATGTATGTCATTTTCTATTTTAAGACTTTTATGATGTATTTAAATGGGTTATTATGGTTGCAGACTCCATTGGAAATTTGAATTGAAATTATGACCATGACTGAGGGAAAGAATTTTTATTTGGAAAAGGGGGGGGGGGGGTAAAAAAAATTGGGGGGGGGGGGTGAGGGGATGGGGGGACAATTTTTTCTCCTCAAGATTTCCGAAATCAAAAAGAAAATCCTTCAAATTTTATTTTTTTGAAAAAAAAGGAGGGGGGGGGGGGGGAGATCAATTCGCAACAGCATAGTGTATTGCACAAAAGCAAAAAATTTAATATAAATTCAAATCATATAACCAATTTTAAGTTTTTTGACTACAGTTATTCTGTGTCAGAAACCTATTATGTGTCAAATATTGAATTACTATCCAAATTCAGACCTGTATCAAGTGCAAATATTGTGTCCATTTTTGCCCCAACTGTTCATGGTTGGACCACTGCGGTCGTATCCAGCTGCGCTCGGCGAAGCAATTTATTTGTCTTGCTGCCACAAAAGTCACTGAAGGCGAGACATAGGTATTGCTTTTGCTGTGATTTCCGTCAATTATATTTTCTATGAAGTTTCATTACTATCAGTTCATGTCAGTTTGAGGACTATTTCGTCTCCCTGCTCCTGTAGGTCATGGTCCAGTGAATTTCAATTATTTACCAATTTTCTATGTTAAGTGTTCTGCTTAATTTAGTGTGAAAGGAACTACTTAATACAATAGACAACAATATTTTCTATAAAGTTGCATTACTGTCTGTACATCCCATTTTGAGGCCCTGCCCACTAGTTCATGGTCCAGCGTCTTAGAATTATTTTGCAATGTTGCTGTCCTTCAGATTGTTTTTTTCTGAATTTTAATGCCGACAGGCAAGACATATCACTGTGTTACCCTTGTCTGTGTATGTTCTTACATATGTCCCAAAATTAGTTTCCGTTCTCTAACTTTAGTTTGCCTCAACCAAATGTTATGAAACTTATACACAATGTTTATTACTACAAAACACAGATCAAGATCGAATTTGGGTGGCGTCACTTTTATAATTCTTGAGGTTACATCCTTTTATAACGTTGTATGCAAGTGGAGGCATCATCTGTGTCCCATGGACATATTCTCCATTTTTCAATCAATTTTCACTCAACCTTTTCAATTTTATCATTTAACTATTTTAAATAGATGTCTTTGATAAATTGAATCATTTTTGATAAAATCATTTAAACTCAAATCAGTTAAATACAAGTTCAAAGATTGATCCATGTCTGATACAAAAGAGTTTACCTGAATGAAGGTAAATCTCAGCTGTCAGACAATTAATTTACCTTGATTGTATTAATGATGGGCTATTTGATAAGGATTTGTTTTAAAGTAATTACTCAACTTTTCACTTGTGACAGGTTAAGTGTGTCTGTATGTACTATGGTTCATTTTTTTGTGGCAGAAAGCTCGACAAAGGGATAGTGATCCGTTTAACTAACTACTTAAAAGCTTTATATTTAAGAAGGTGGAAGACCTGGATGCTTCATACTTTGTATATAGATGCCTTATGTTACGAGGTTTCCGTCTGTCACATGTCCATTGTTTTTGACCTCATTTTCATGGTTCAGTGACTACTTAAAAAAAAAGTAAAGATTTTTTGTAATGTTAATTTCTCTCTTATTATGAGTAATAGGATAACTATATTTAGTATATGCGTACCTTGCAAGGTCCTCATGCCTGTCAGACAGTTTTTATCTGACCTCGACCTCATTTCATGGATCAGTGAACAAGGTTAAGTTTTTGTGGTCAAGTCCATATATATATATATACTATAAGCAATAGGTCTAGTATATTTGGTGTATGGAATGATTGTAAGGTGTACATGTTCAAATGGGAGGTGTCATCTGACCTCATTTTCACAGTTCATTGCTCAGTTTTAAGTTTTTGTGTTTTTCTTAAACTATAAGCAATAGGTCAACTATATTTGGTGTATGGAATGATTTTGTGTTTTGGTCTCTTTTATGCCCCCACCGTAGCAGAGGGGGCATTAAGTTTTACACTTGTCTGTCTGCACATACGTACGTCCCAAAATTGGTTTCTGTTCTCTAACTTTAGTTTGCCTCTACCAAATGTTATGAAACTTATACACAATGCTTATTACAACAAAACACAGATCAAGTTTGAACTTTGGTGGCATCACTTTTACCGTTCTAGAGTTATGCCCCTTTACAAATGGAAAAATTGCTGAAATATTCGTTTCTGTTCCCTTACTTAAGTTGACCTCAACTAAATGTTATGAAAATTATAAACAATGCTTATTACCACAAAACTCAGATCATGTACAAATTTGGGTAGCGTCACTTTTACAGTTCTTGAGTTATGTTCCTTTATAACTTTATATGCAAGCGGAGGCATCATCTGTGTCCCATGGACACATTCCCCATTTATTTTCTAATACTATATGCAATAGGTTAACTATATTTGGTGTATGGAAATATTTTAGGAAGTACATGTCAGTCTGGCAGGTTTTATTTGACCTTGACCTCATTTTCACGGTTCATTACTCAGTATTAAATTTTTGTGTTTTGGTCTGTTTTTCTCAAACTATAAGTAATAGGTCAACTATATTTGGTGTATGGAATGATTGAAAGGTGTATATGTCTGTCTGGCAGGTATCATCTGAGCTTGACCTCATTTTCATGGTTCATTGCAATTTGGTTATTGTCAAATTTTCATGGTTAATATAAAAAGAAGATGTGGTATGACTGCCAATGAGACAACTCTCCACGAGAGACAAAATGACACAGAAATTAACAACTATAGGTCATCGTATGGATCTTCAACAATGAGCAAAGCCCATACCGCATAGTCAGCTATAAAAGACCCGAAATGACAAATGAGAAAACTAACGGATAATTTATATACAAAATAATGAACGAAAAACAAATGTGTTACACAGCAACAAACGACAACCACTGAATAACAGGCACATAAAGTGTGTTTCTTATATACTATATAAGCAATAGGTCAACTATATTTAATGCATAGATTGATTGTAAGGTGTACATGTCTGTCTTGCATGGTTCATCTGACCTTGACCTCATTTTCATGGTTCATTGGTCAATGTTACATTTTCCTGGTTAAGTTTGTTTCCTAGAAACTATAAGCAACAGGTCAACTATATTTTGTGTATGGAATGATTGTAAGGTGTACATGTATTTCTGGTTTGGTTTATCTGATCTTGGCCTCATTTTCTTGGATCATGTTAAGTTATGTGATACTTGTAGTAAAGCTTTATATTTAGGACTATCAACATAAAATCAATGACCAGTAAAGCAGGCGAGACATTTCAGCATGTGCACTCTTGTTTTCTTCTCTGAATTATGGTATAATGGCAAACCTATATTGGTTGTCAGTTTAGGCAGAGCACAAGCCATACCCTGGCTGAATTTACAGGACATGTCTGGAAAATACAACCGTTTTGGAAGCCATGGCTTAGAGGTGTTTTTAATCAATGTTTGTAGTCATTTACCACCATTACAATTTTCAGTAAAACTATAACTTTTCTCATGCATCTAGGTTGTATCAAAAAGATGCACAGTACAGAATACTTAGGAAGTGATATTACTTTAAATGGATTTTTATGTTACAGACTGTACGACTAGATGAAAAAGAAAGATACAAGATGTTGCTTCAACAGTATACCAGTGTTCCACTTAAATCCTCACAAACAGATAATGATGTAAACCAAGATTATTGGCCATCAGTAAATAAATCAAAATCACACAGGTGAGACTTATTAAAAATTTTTGTAGCACTAGAATACTAAAAGAAACATGTCCTCTTTAATTGTTCATTAGCTTTTTGTCTCACCCAGAGGAAGTAGAACAAGCCCTTCTTAGATGTGCAGTTTCTGGCAGCGACCGCATCAACAATTAATAAGTTTGGCATTAGGTCAGTTTATGGGGATCCACTAGTGGTAGGTCAATGATATTTGGTATGCAGTTGTATTAGCATTGGCACATCTATTTGGATTATTTGGACCCACCCCCTCAGTCAGGGTCTACTGTTGCTTAGTTGACATTTATTAGTTTGTGATTAGGTCGTTTAAGTAGAACCACTAATGTTATCACTGGTATTTGATATACAGTTTTATAAGTATTGGCATTTCTAATTTCCATAAAGGTTATTTGAACCTACACCTTTAGTCTTGGTTTATTGACTTTTAATGTTTTGCATAGTTTACATGTTAAAATATTGCCAATTTTAGATTCAACATTTGCATTAAATTATTGAAATTACAATAAAGGCAAGACATATCTCTGTGTCAACAGTATATTGAAACTGTATAACGTATATAGGGTTATTTTCATGTCAGGTTTTGTTTGCAGTCAGGGCCTCAGATGGGACAGATAAATTTTCTCTGTGAATATTAAATAGCCTTTTACAATGCATAATGATGAAAGTAGAATGTTTGCAGTGTTAATTTTGCTGTACAATCTCTAATGAGAAAATGTAACACACTGGAAAATTTGCTGATGTAGGGTATAGTGATTGAGTGTCTGTTCATATTTAGGTCAAATTTTTGTATCTGCTACTACTCCTGGAAAGCTGGACAAAATTTTGATACTTAAAAAAATGTTTCTGACATGAAGATAATTTGTACCTGTTACATATTTGCATCCAAAAGATTTTGGATGATTTTTTGGGATTTACTTTGGCGTGACATGGACTTTGTCATACCCACACACTTCAGTACACATTTGTGTCTGCTTCTGCTTCTAAATCCTAATCAGAACTTAATGTGTGGGCTATTGGGTATTTTTTATAGCTTTTCTGACAGAGCCTCTAGTTCTATGTTCTATTAGAAAAATAAACAATGACCCTGAGATTAAAACACCTCTTATGTCACAAGAAAGTTTGCTAGCCAGTTGGACAGATGAAAACAAGCAATTTTAGTGGGAAATATGGATGTAAACAGTTTTGAAAATTACAGCCATTGAACATTTTATACATTTTGAAATATTTTGGCTTTATTCTATCACTTCAGATCAGAAGAAAGTTTGCTGGGAAACAGAACAAATCATTATGTAACAAAAATAGACATTTCAAAAGATATTCCTCGTCATAAAATGACACCAAAATACATCCAACATCCTCCCGGATCATCTATGTTAGAGAGACACGTCTCCCCGATAGAAATGATAAGAAAGACCTCTCTAAGTAGTAGCACTGTTCAAACTCCTACCTCATTACCACAGAGACCACTCTTAGAATCAACAAGACTACCAGAAACATCCATGTCAGAACTATTTACAAATGAACAATCTCAAACAGGTAAGAATTCTTTTATTTAGACCATGCAATTTTACAAGATATTTGTGTGAAATTCCAAAGTCCCTGAAATTATTGACATCTCTATTTCTGAGGTTGGATTTATTTTAATGAATGTTAAATTGAAAGAGAAGTTCCATTTGTTTACATGGCTCATGAGTCACTTTAAATTATATGGTCATTTGATGTTTTCAAAATTACTCTTATTATCTTTTAAATTTTCACAATTTCATGGCATTGTTGAAAATTGTCTTGTTAGTACTCTCATTCCTACATTTCTCTACAATTGTTAAGCATTACCTGACCCTTAGGATATTATTTGGGTCTTATGTCTGTCATCTGTCTATGAACTATAAAATAAAATGATTTCTTGGAGTTTCCAATAATCAACCAACATAGCCTTTGGTATCAAGTGTAAAATAGAACACAGGTGAAACAGGCAAAATGGTTGTTTGTATGTCTTCACCAGGGACTGATTTGAGCAAAATCAAACATGTATTTCCGAAAATCTGGAACATAATTGTGTCTTCTTTCTTAGTTAAGTTGATGGTACCTTACCATTGAAACACTTCAGAACTTACATGCAAATTTCATTTTTCAGGCAGAAAAACTTCACCTGAAAGAGAATCAATGATAGAAAGAAGTAAAAGGTATTTGTCTTTAACCAAACATTATGATGTACATACCCAAGTATTAATTAATCTGCATACACATTTATTTTTCAGGTAGAAACCTCAAAATTTAACCTTTATCCTCGTACAAGAGGAATTCACTGTATTAGAGATGTAAATGTATGTATTGTAATGCATGAAAGATTTTTATCAATAGAATAGTTGTTCAATAATTGGAATTTCTGAAGTATTTTCAAATTTAGGATAAGGAGTTTTTTACCTTTTAGTTAAGTAAAATTTTGTAGCCCAAAGAAATCAAGTTAGATAAGTTGAAGTTTAAGATGGATTTCAGTATAACTAGATTATTTATTTTACAGAATTTCAACAGCCAACAAAGATTACAGAAGTTCTCAGTATTTATCGGACAGTTGGGTCTCAGAAATGTGAGTCCAAAATCATGTTGAAGTAAACTACAATACATTAATTGTGTGTCTATTATTCTCAAATTTGCATTCATCCTTATACTTAACAATCTGAATTCAATTTTTGTCACCAGTGTCTAATGTTTTGCATGTAAGAAAAGGTCTGAATAGGAACTCTTTATGTGCCTGTCCCAAGTCGGGATCCTGTAGTTCAGTGGTTGTCATTGGATTATGTCTGCCATATTTGTTTCTCGTAAACTGTTTTGTTATTAATTAGGCCGTTATTTTTCTTGTTTGAATTTTTAAGTAAGGGCTTTTCTCATTGTTGAAGCCCGTATGGTTGCCTATAATTGCTTACATCCACTTCATTTGGAACTTGTTGGACAGTTGTCTCATTGGCAATCATACCACATCTCCTTATTTTTATATTGAATAAGTTGTGAACATTCATTCACATGTCAACGCCAGAAAATATTCCAGAACTATGAGCTATAAAAATAACAACAAAAGTTGTGAGAATTCACCAAGAAGATATTTGAATAAGCAAGCTTTGGAAAAGAAATATAGGAAAATTAGTCAATTTTAGAAACAGATTGCCTTTTTATTAGCTAACTAACTCCTTTTAGGCTATGTGAGCTATTGCTATGACTTGGCATTCATCAAGCATGGGAACCTGTTGTTGATTTTTGAAATCTTCTCATTTGCAATGCTCCACAGTCATAAAAGATTGAAATTGTTAATAGACTCTTTATCAGAGTTATGGCCCCTAAATCATGATTATTTTTTTGTTGCCTAGCTTTTTTACGCCTACCTTAGATCCAGTATTATCCATCCATCTGTCCATCCATCAACTCTTAGTTCTTTAACTCAAGTTTGCTTTAACAAAATTTCATGTAACTTTAAACAACATAGGATTGACAGAAGAATGTTCCCTTTCTGATTTTGAATATTTTTGGCTTTGGAGTTCCAGAGTTATGTGACTTGAACAGTTTGAATTTTTTCACATATCACATACTAACTCCAGTATGCCTGGATTGATTTTTTCAAAACTTTAGGTTATTGTTGGGATTGATAAAGGACGCTATCTTGTTGTTTCAGAGTTGCTGGACTTTAATTGTCAGATTTAAGTAAATTTTTCACATGTTGTACCATGACTTGAGTTTGCTTGGATTGATTAGCTGAAAAGTTTACATAATTGTTGGAATTGGTGAACAATCATATTACAACAAACTTAACACTGTTGTTCGCATTGGTGAATGAAGACTTATCTTTATTTTGAAAATTTTGTGGTTTCTCATTCTAGAGAATTGGACTTTTAACATTCATATTTGACACAATACTTATGCACCTAAAGGTATCCTCATGCATGTTTTTCTACAGAGCCATTTTATTTGCCTCTGATTGAATGCCTTCTTAATATCCCATTTTATTTTTGCAACAATTTGAAAATTTACAATAAGGGCTTATCATGCTCTCTTGGTGCAGCTGCTTATTTATGAATTTATTTACAATAAATGTTAATCAAATGTTCAGTAATTGTTCATTCATGAAAATACAAAATACTGTTATAAAATGTAAGTGATGAATGAAGACATCAGAAATTCTAATTGTCTGTTTTAGCATGTCAAAATATTCATCATCAGCCAGAGATAGAACTAGAAAAATTGCTGAAGCAGAGCTGAAAGCAAAACTATATGAGGAAAGGGTAAGCATTTAAACAGAGAGGATGAAAGAAAGATTCCAAAGTAATCAGTTATGTTTAACTGTGATAATATAGGCAAATGAAAGTAGTGAGAAAGATTAATGGATAAATAGTCATATTAACATTATGTCAGTAGGTGATGATATGATATAGTTTTAAAGGTAAGCAGTGGTAAAAGTCATATTAACATTATGTCAGTAGGTGAAAATATGATATAGTTTTAAAGGTAAGCAGTGGTAAAATTCATATTATAGTTGGAGGAAGACACGAGAAATTGAAAGGAATTGGTAAAACATTAACTATAAACACTACATGTCCATGTTCTAATCTTAAACCATTAACTATAATACTACATGTCCATGTTCTAATCTTAAACCATTAACTATAAACACTACATGTCCATGTTCTAATCTAAAACTGTTTATATACTAACAAAACATAGACAAATAATCACACCAATAACAACAGTTAGATAGAAAGGGAGGTTTTGAACACATAAAGTCAACCATTTATGTCTTGAGGAAGGTAAAAAGGAAGAGTGTTAACACACAGTCAACCACCTCTGTCAATTGGTGAAATTAAGGAATACAGCTAGCATTTATGTCTAATAAATGGAAAAAAGGAGAGTCTTAAACATAGTCAACCACTTCTATCAAATGGTGATACAAGTAGAGTGTTAACACATAGTAACTAACCTCTGTCAAATTATGAGGCATAGGGAGAGGGTATTCACAAAGTCAACCACTTCTATCAAATGGTGATACAAGTAGAGTGTTAACACATAGTAATTAACCTCTGTCAAATTATGAGGCATAGGGAGAGGGTAAGCACAAAGTCAACCTCTTCTATCAAATGGTGATACAAGTAGAGCGTTAACACATAGTAATTAACCTCTTTCAAGTTATGGGGCATAATGAGAGGGTAAGCACAAAGTCAACCTCTTCTTTCAAATGGTGATACAAGTAGAGTGTTAACACATAGTAATTAACCTCTGTCAAATTATGAGGCATAGGGAGAGGGTAAGCACAAAGTCAACCTCTTCTATCAAATTGTGATACAAGTAGAGCATTAACACATAGTAATTAACCTCTGTCAACTTATGAGGCATAGGGAGAGGGTAAACACAAAGTCAACCTCTTCTATCAAATGGTAATAGGAGTAGAGTGTTAACACATAGTAATTAGCCTCTGTCAAATCATGAGGCATAGGGAGAGGGTAAACACAAAGTCAACCTCTTCTATCAAATGGTAATAGGAGTAGAGTGTTAACACATAGTAATTAACCTCTGTCAAATTATGAGGCATAGGGAGAGGGTAAACACAAAGTCAACCACTTCTATCAAATGGTGATACAAGTAGAGCGTTAACACATAGTAATTAACCTCTGTCAAATTATGAGGCATAGGGAGAGGGTAAACACAAAGTCAACCATTTCTATCAAATGGTGATACAAGTAGAGTGTTAACACAAAGTCAACCTCTTCTATCAAATGGTGATAGGAGTAGAGTGTTAACACATAGTAATTAACCTCTGTCAATTGTGAGGCATAGGTAGAGTGTAAACATGCAATGACAACCACTTGTGAGGAACTGCATAGGTTTCAGTTTTGTTAACTGTTAAAGCATTAGAACTGAGGAATAATTTACAATTGTTATATTTTCCCTTTGAATTGAACGTTTTTTATCCATAGTTGCTTAGTTTTATACCTACTAGAACACACCCGCGACATCACAGGTTTGTGACTGAATTAAAGTATTTAATCAGGTTTAACCCTTATTTTTAGCCTGGACTTTTAGTATTGCTATTGTCATCTGATAAAGTCATGCTGATTATAAAATTAAGATGCACAGTTTTCTCTGCTTTCAAAATCTTTCTGGCTTGAACCCGTTGACCTGGAATTGTGTAATTTTCAATCAAAACCATTGTCCTATATTAATTATATATAAAGTTGAATTCCTTGATTCACCGTTTTTACGTCATGCCGGCTAACAAATTGGAAACCGTACCTACGCCTTATTTGAAGTCTAGATTTTTAGTATTCGTATTGTCATCTTATAAAGTCATGCTGAATAAAATACTACAATAGGAAACAATGTGACAATGATTGACTTTAGTAGTGTCAACCCTGTATAATGACCCGCGTATAAAGCAAATCCCAAGTACACCGTTTGGTGGTGCACCTGACAGATACTGCGTACAGATAAGGTAATATAGATTTCGCTGGCAGTACGTCGACTGAGCATGCGCAAAAGCGTATAAAACACGGATCGATAACAGTCTCCGAATTTGGATATTTTCTCAAAAATTGGTGTTTTCTGTGGAAAAAAGATTGTTTCAATTATTGTGACAAAATTAGGAAGTACAAAACACTACATTTATACGTCATATCACAAATATTTCCGACTTTGTATGGTTTCAGAGGAGTTGCGGCTCAATGAAATCTGTCTCTTCCTTTAGTAGTATAGATTGGAACAGGATTTTATGGGGAGGGAGGATAAGGTCACATGCAGTCTTAATGAAAGTTAACATATTGTTTAATATTAGAATTTAATTTTTTTACAGAGAAAAGGTAAAGATGATGATCTTGAGAAAAGGGTGAGTAGGAATTCACAATATCCATTGGCTTCTTTGGATTGATGAAAATTCACCTAAATAGTCACATTAGCATTTTATTTAATTTCCAAAAAAAGTACTCAAACCAAATAAAAAGTAACAAAGCCATTACTCTGCATAGCTTAATACTACATACAAAGGTAAATATATTATAACATGCTAGTCTTGATGACAATAGAATCACCTGTAATTGAAAACACCAGACAGGCACAAAATAAATAGATTTAGTGATATGTTTAGAACTAGAAGTTAAATAGATCGAAAAATGAAGATGGATACTACTTACAGCTCTTTTCATAATGCTAGCAAGACAAAGGTTTGTTTGACTTGCTTGCTTTGTTTGTATAAATGTTTGCTCAAGCATTGTAATTAAGATTGACATCTGCAAACAATATAAGTAGGCGGAGTTAAACCTGTGTATAGGTAAATTTGATTATTTGATAATGTCCAATCAAATTTAAATATAATGTATACAAGTGTAAACCCGCCTTTTTATGTTGTTTTCAGATGTCAATCTTAATAACAATGTTTGAGCAAACATTGATACAAACAAAGCAAGTAAGCCAAACAAACCTTTGTCTTGCTAGCATTATGAAAAGAGCTGTAACATGAACTTGCAAATGCAATTTATATTCTAAAACAGATACTGTCAACAAATATGTATACACTATTGTACAAATTGTATGAAAAAAAATCAAAAATGATGAACATTCATGTTAACTCTTTATTAAGTCTCCCAAACGAAGTTTGGGAAGACTTATTGTTTTTGCTCAGTTCTTATTATTATTATTATTCTTCTTCTTCTTCTTCCTCTTCCGCTGCTTTTAAATTTGAACTTGTCCGCACCCGTTCTCCAAAACCGCTTGTCAGATTAACTTAGGGTTTCACAATATGTTAGACTAACATGTCTAGTGGTGCAATCAGGGTTTTGTTTGTGCAATGGGGTTTATAAAGGGGTACTTTGAGGGGCAAAAAGAAAAGAGGGTTTTACTATAGAACCCTATGGGATTTTATTTTTAAAAATTTTCAAATGAGTATAAATTGAAAACCGCTTGTGATAGACACAATCTTTTTAATTGAAAATGTTCTAAATGATAAAGCCCATTTAATGAAATACAGTGTTAGTCCCCAGGGGTCACCCCCACCCCCTGCCATTTAAAAAAGTTCTAATACCTTGTAAGAGGTCAAGATCCCCACCCCTAAACCATATATATTCTGGTTTGTCATGCTAAGATGGTTTAAATGATATACAGGGTTAGTCCCCAGGGGTCATCCCGACCCCCTGCCATTTGAGAAAGTTCTAATAACTTGTGAATGGTCGAGATCCCCACCCCTAAACCATATATATTCTGGTTTGTCATGATAAAGCACATCAAATGTAATACAGGGTTAGTCCCCAGGGGTCACCCCACCCCATACCATTTAAGAAAGTTCTAATATCTTGTAAGTGGTCAAGATCCCCACCCCTAAACCATATATATTCTGGTTTGTCATGCTAAGATGGTTTGAATGATATACAGGGTTAGTCCCAAGGGGTCATCCTGACCCCCTGCCATTTGAGAAAGTTCTAATATCTTGTGAATGGTCGAGATCCCCACCCCTAAACCATATATATTCTGGTTTGTCATGATAAAGCAAATCAAATGTAATACAGGGTTAGTCCCCAGGGGTCACCCCCACCCCATGCCATTTAAGAAAGTTATATCTTGTAAATGGTCGAGATCCCCACCCCTAAACCATATATATTCTGGTTTGTCATGCTAAGATGGTTTGAATGATATACAGGGTTAGTACCCAGGGGTCACCCCCACCCCCTGCCATTTGAGAAAGTTCTAATATCTTGGAAGTGGTCAAGATCACCACCCCTAAACAATATATATATTCTGGTTTGTCATGCTTAGATGGTTTGAATGATATACAGGGTTAGTCCCCAGGGGTCATCCCGACCCCCTGCCATTTGAGAAAGTTCTAATATCTTGTAAATGGTCGAGATCCCCACCCCTAAACCATATATATTCTGGTTTGTCATGCCAAGATGATTTGAATGATATACAGGGTTAGTCCCCAGGCATCACTAATGCATATAACTTTACTGGACCAAACCAATTTTCACTGGACTTTGCCCAATGTCAGGCGACCCTGGGAATTACGAATTATGGGAGCTTCGTTGGGAGACTTCGTAACAGCATCCTGTTACAATCATTTCTTGTTATTATTATTATTCTTCTTCTTCTTCTTCTTCCTCTTCCGCCGCTTTTAAATTTGAACTTGTCCGCACCCGTTCTCCAAAACCGCTTGTCAGATTAACTTAGGGTTTCACAATATGTAAGACTAACATGTCTAGTGGTGCAATCAAGGTTTTGTTTGTGCAATGGGGTTTATAAAGGGGTACTTTGAGGGGCAAAAAGAAAAGAGGGTATTACTATAGAACCCTATGGGATTTTATTTTTTTTAATTTTCTAATGATTATAAATTGAAAACCGTTTGTGACAGACACAATCTTTTTAATTGGAAATGTTCTAAATGATAAAACCCATTAAATGAAATACAGGGTTAGTCCCCAGGGGTCATCCCCACCCCCTGCCATTTAAGAAAGTTCTAATACCTTGTAAGAGGTCAAGATCCCCACCCCTAAACCATATATATTTTGGTTTGTCATGCTTAGATGGTTTGAATGATATACAGAGTTAGTCCCCAGGGGTCATCCCAACCCCCTGCCATTTGTGAAAGTTCTAATATCTTGTAAATGGTTGAGATCCCCACCCCTAACCCATATATATTCTGGTTTGTCATGATAAAGCACATCAAATGAAATACAGGCTTAGTCCCAAGGGGTCACCCCCACCCCCTGCCATTTAAAAAAGTTCTAATATCTTGTAAGTGGTCAAGATCCCCACCCCTAAACCATATATATTCTGGTTTGTCATGCTAAGATGGTTTGAATGATATACAGGGTTAGTCCCCAGGGGTCATCCCGACCCCCTGCCATTTGAGAAAGTTCTAATATCTTGGATCCCCATCCCTAAACCATATATATTCTGGTTTGTCATGATAAAGCACATCAAATGAAATACAGGGTTAGTACCCAGGGGTCACCCCCATCCCCTGCCATTTAAGAAAGTTCTAATATCTTGTAAGTGGTCAAGATCCCCACCCCTAAACCATATATATTCTGGTTTGTCATGATAAAGCACATCAAATGAAATACAGGGTTAGTACCCAGGGGTCACCCCCACCCCCTGCCATTTAAGAAAGTTCTAATATCTTGTAAGTGGTCAAGATCCCCACCCCTAAACCATATATATTCTCGTTTGTCATGCGAAGATAGTTTGAATGATATACAGGGTTAGAACCCAGGGGTCATCCCGACCCCCTGCCATTTGAGAAAGTTCTAATATCTTGTAAGTGGTCAAGATCCCCACCCCTAAACCATATATATTCTGGTTTGTCATGATAAAGCACATCAAATGAAATACAGGGTAAGTCCCCAGGGGTTACCCCCACCCCCTGCCATTTAAAAAAGTTCTAATATCTTCTAAGTGGTCAAGATCCCCACCCCTAAACCATATATATTCTGGTTTGTCATGCTAAGATGGTTTGAATGATATACAGGGTTAGTACCCAGGGGTCATCCCGACCCCCTGCCATTTGAGAAAGTTCTAATATCTTGTAAATGGTCGAGATCCCCACCCCTAAACCATATATAATCTGGTTTGTCATGATAAAGCACATCAAATGAAATACAGGGTTAGTACCCAGGGGTCACCCCCACCCCCTGCCATTTAAGAAAGTTCTTATATCTTGTAAGTGGTCAAGATCCCCACCCCTAAACCATATATATTCTGGTTTGTCATGCTAAGATGGTTTGAATGATATACAGGGTTAGTACCCAGGGGTCATCCCGACCCCCTGCCATTTGAGAAAGTTCTAATATCTTGTAAATGGTCGAGATCCCCACCCCTAAACCATATATATTCCTGTTCGTCATGTCTCGAACATTTGAATGACGTATAGGGTCAGTCCCCAGGGGTTCCCCCCACCCCCAATGTTCTAGTATCTTGTAAATGGTCGAGATCCCCACCCCTAAACCATATATATTCTGGTTTGTCATGCCAAGATGATTTGAATGATATACAGGGTTAGTCCCCTGGCATCACTAATGCATTTACTGGACCAAACCAATTTTCACTGGACTTTGCCCAATGTCAGGTGACCCTGGGAATTACGAATTATGGGAGCTTCGTTTGGGAGACTTCGTAACAGCATCCTGTTACAATCATTTCTTGTCATAGATTGATTTTGATCATAATCTACATAAAATATGATTTTTATTAATAAAACATTAAAAATTATTAACTAAAATTTGAAATGTATTGTTACAGTAATATATTTACTGCATAATATTAATAATAATAACTTTAGAATTTAAATTTTTTGGTTAAGGACCCAAATAGTGACCTCCAGATAATAATTTTTGATTGTCCTGTGATGTTCGATTGCTGTCTCAATGATAGATATTTTACTTGATTTTCCATTTAGCAAAAGAAATTTGATTGTTTGATTTTTTTTAGTTACGAATACAAATGAGATTGTACGAGAAAGAGCCAGCAGTGACAGAAGATTTACCTGTAGAGTTATCTGAAGAGGAGGAAGAAAAAGAAGAAGTGCTACCTGGTAACCATCACAATCAATATATTGTTATTTAAACAAATGTAAAAAGTCATCTCTGATAGTTGGTTTGCATAATATCTGAGTTAAAATAGGATATTAGACATCATTCTAGGCATTGTATTTTTTCTTTAGTGTGTAGGTCTAGTATAAAGCAGGGTTCATTTTAAAATCACATCAACATGCCATCATCCTGCTTATGTTTGTAATATTTGTCACTTGACATTTAACAACAATCCTTCCACCAAGCTCTAAATCGATGTGAGTCTAAACAAGCTGGGGAAAAATGAAATACAAATATCAATGTTTTGCCATCAAAATTCTCCAGGGGGAGGGGGACACTGAGGTGTAACTGAATCTATTTAAAATCAAAGATGTAGCCTTAATTTCATGTTTTCAAATTAGATTATTAAAAGTTTATATCAAAAATATTGTTAAATGATCACAGTTCAAGATTTGATGAGGTTTTAAATGGAATGATGTGAACATGATAGGGTATGAAGATGGGACTTTATTAACGAAAGAATCAAGAACTATTTAAACAAATATGTGAAAATCATGATACATCAGTTTCATGGTTGATTAGTTGTAGTTTAGTATTTTTATAGGTTAAGGTAAATGTAATTTGATATTTATAGCTTATCAAACAAGAAGGTGTTTCTCAGCATAATCTCTTTGAAGGGTGACAGCCCAGAGATGACTTGTATCTGAGAAACATCCTTGAGTTTGACAGACCATTAATAATCTGCTTACTGCTGTTTACCTAGACAATGTCAATGTGGTAGGCTCATCATACATTCTCTTTCTACTTGACCTAGAAAAACCTGCATCATTCCAGTAGTATGACATAAAAAATTATCACAAAAAAGATCTAAGCAAAATTTAAGAAAACAGCGATAATAAGTGAATATATCAGCATGTAAATTTGCATTTAAAGTTATTTTGTAGGTTAAAAAATATTTAGTAAATATAATCTCAATAATTAAAACATATGCCAAAAGGATGGTTTGCTTTTTATTTTATTGTAAAGTTGTCTTTGTTTATATTTATATTATAACCAAGACCACAGTGATTGGTACAATCATTCCTTTTAAATACTAGTAGGGAGGTACCATGTCTAATCAACAAAGATAGTCTTGTTTAAATTAGTTCTATTTAGTCATAAACAGTATAAAAGGATAATAACATTATTTTAATAGACACATAAGTCTCCCTATTGTAAATAAGTGTTACCTTATTAAAGAGGTTAATATATCATTATTAAATCCAGTTCATAGTTAAGGCACTCTACACCTGAATTGCTTAAAGAGTCAGCATCTAAATAAGATTTGAAGAGAAGATAAGAAAAAGTCAAACTCGGGTGAAAATAGGAAACCTATGATTTAATATAAGCTCTATTTAGTCAAATGTAAAAGAGCAGGTGTTTTAGGCTATAGCATGGTTATTAACAAGACATAATGTTAAGAGTATAAATGCATGAAGTATGTAGACATATTTATAACAATACCTTTAAAGTAAAAAACCCACTCTTTTATCATACAGAAATAACTCCTGAAATGGATGATGTTATAAACAAAGCTTTACGAGGTCAACCTGCACATGAAGTACTAGTAGAGGGGTACAGAATACAAATAACACGAGGTGATATAGCAACATTAGCTGGCCTGAATTGGTTAAATGATGAGGTAGGTCAGAGGTTTAGGTTCAAACAGTGAGGTAAGCAGATGGGATAAGAGTCACATTACCTTTCGTTGATATGATAAAAGCTTCATATATTAATCCATGTTTAATACATTTTGTGATTCTCAGACTCTTACTAGTAAAAAATTCATGAGGGAGGGAGGGTATTTAATTTTTGTATTTATTATTTTGTTGCTATTGACAAGTATTTTTAAACCCTGGATGTATTCATGTTAAAGAATAATATACCAAGGTGTGATTAAAGATAACTAAGTCAAAGTAAATACAACATGGAGAAGACATATAACTAGTCAAAAAATATTTCATATAAAACTCAATTCTGAGCAACACAAATTAAATAACTGAGGATGTTTGTGTAGACTTTCTTTATATATACAACATCTAACAATCTGATAGATATGTTTTATTCTTATTTCATTAATGATGTGTTTCACCAATGAGGTGTTTCACCAATGAGGTGTGACATGATTCTGATATGTTTTTTTCTTATTTCATTAATGATGTGTTTCACCAATGAGGTGTGACATGAAACTGATCAACATATCAAACCACAACAGTGCTATGCTGAATGTCAGAAAAAAATTGTGTCCAGTAAAATTAAAGTTGAAATTGAATGCAGCATCTTAATAAAATCTTAACCTTCATTAGGTACCCCCAAACTGCCTAAACAGAACAACCAAAACTGTCAATAAGTATGAATAGCAACATTGGGTATACATTAGGAACTAAAGAAAACCAAGTCTATAATCAACATTGCCTGAGGGAATTGCAACCTTAGCTTTGGCACAATTACATAGTCTTAATTAGTCTATCATTTAAACAAAATTGCTGGATGATTTATTCATTGGATTGTCCGTTTTATGCCCCTGCCATGGAGGGGGCATTAAGGTTTACCCTTGTCCGTCCGTACGTATGTACGTCATGAAATTGGTTTCTGTTTTCTAACTTAAGTTTGCCTAAACTAATTGTTATGAAACTTATACACAATGCTTATTACCACAAAACACAAATCAAGTTCAATTTTGGGTGTCGTCACTTTTACAGTTTTCTAGTTATGTCCCTTTATAATGTTATATGCAAGTGGGGCATAATCTGTGTCCCATGAACACATTCTCCATTTATTTTAAATGCATCTCTATGTTTGTTAAATGTTCTTGAATAAAAAGATAAAGCAACAGCATCTGTTTTCATCTTTTATTCAAAGATCCTATTTAAGAACCCTGTACCTTGACAGCTATTTTTAAAAATTTTGATATGGTTATGTCTTTTGGAAAGTTTAGTGACATGGCTTTTGCATAATTTAATTAAATGTAGAGTCAAAGTTTGATGTTTAGTAGTACCAACACACATAAAGCTTACATAGTTTGTTCCACACGTTTATCTCCAAGTGTATCTGGAAGTTCGCTCAAGCAATCCTTGTCCATTGCACTGATCTTTTACAGTTGTGACATTTGTAAATTTAAAGATCATCAAAGGATAAAAGCATTTTACTTGTGTTTACTTTACTGAAAGTCTTAACTTTGTACAATTATTCATAAATTCAGTTCTACAGAAACATAGTGTTCATGTCTCGTGGAATGGTTTATACAGTCAATGACTATATATTCAAAATGTTTCTGCAGTTAATATATAGCAAGATTCAGTATAAATATCAGTTGTAATTCATTTTATATGATAAAGTCTTAATATCATAACTTATTTTTTCAGGTGATAAACTTTTATATGAACATGTTAATGGAAAGAGGAGAAAAGGACAATTATCCTAAATGTTATGCCTTTAATACATTTTTTTATCCAAAAATAATGTCTGGTGGACATTCCACAGTACGGCGATGGACAAAGAAAGTAGATATATTCAGTTATGACTACTTGATAGTTCCTGTACATTTAGGAATGCATTGGTGTTTATGTGTAAGTTGGAATTAATTACTCAATGAGAATGGATTGAAAGACCGCTTTTTTACTTTGGTATGTTTTGAAGTTTTCATCTAAATATTTGACTGTTTACATCAATATCACACATAAAGAAGCATATTCACATCAATACACAAATTTCTACCAGAAAACAGCTATCAAGTATGTGTACTTTTGTATGTGAACTTATAGATCATGTCTGTTTAACTTCATGAACATGATTTATAAGTTAACTTCTGCACCATCACACCTATTTAATTACATGAACATGTGTACATGAATTTCAGCATGTGTTAATGAACATCAAAACAGCTTAGTATGTGAACATTGTAAGTGAACTTCTGTAGCATAAAATCAGTCTGAATACATGTACATATGTAAATGAATATTTGTAGTTTTACGTCTTTGTATATGCACAATAATGTATAAAAATTTCTGCTGTATCATACCTATTTGCCTATATAACATTTGTAAATTGATATTTTGATCAATAGTCCTAATGTGCTAAAAGTGCAGAACACAAAAGATGTAAACACTTTTAAAAGTTTTTGAATGTTTGCAAAGAAGCGACTTTCTGCAGAAATACATTGTGTGAAAATAAGGATTTTTCACTCCAAGAAGCATTATTACAAATCCCTCTTCTAGATAAACTGAATTGCAGAAGATTTAAAAGTACTAACTCAAGAAAATCAAACCGCATATGTCAAAAATATTATAGCTTCAAGATGAGCCAACATACATATCAAAGTTTACAATATGGTCAAAGAAACTGAAGAAAATTTTACTGTTGCTCCTTTACTGATTGATATGTAGCATACCAACTATCTAAGTTCATGTAAATGTGTTGTGTACATTTGTTATGCTTATTTAATGCAGCACTAGCCTGAAGTAGTTTCTAATTTACTGCTTTTTTATGATTTTAGATTGTAGACTTCAAAAAGAAATGTATTCAATATTACGACTCAATGGGAGGTCAAAATGTAAAATGTTTAAATGCAGTCAAGTAAGTATGTTATGAATTAGGTCAGTTTAAGATTGTTTAAAATATGATAATGTGGTTTTGTTGTCTCGCCTGCGACGAAAGTCGCAGAAAGTGAGACATAGGTATTACTATCCGGCGGCGACGGCGGCGTAAACTATTTGTATAAAGCTTTATATTTCAGAAGGTAGAAGACCTGGATGCTTCATACTTTGTATGCAGATACCTTATGTTACGAACTTTCCGTCTGTCATATGTCCAATGTCCTTTACCTTATTTTCATGGTTCAGCGACTGCTTGAAAAAAAAGTTTAGTTTTTTTGTTATGTAAATTTCTCACTTATTATGAGTAATAGGATAACTATATTTGGTATATGGGTTCCTTGCAATGTCTACATGTCCATCAGACAGGGTTCACCTGACCTCAGCCTCATTTCATGGATCAGTGATCAAGGTTAAAGTTACATGATTAGGTCCGTTTCTCAGATACTACAAGCAGTAGGTCAGCTATATGTGGTGTATGGAATGATTATAAGGGATACATGTCAGTCTGGCAGGTTTCATCTGACCTTGACCTCATTTTCACGGTTCATTGGTCAATGTTAAGTTTTTGTGTTTTGGTCTGTTTTTCTAATACTATAAGCCATTGGTCAACTATATTTGGTGTATGGAATGATTGTAAGGTGTACATGTCTGTCTGGCAGGTGTCATTTGTCCTTGACCTATTTTCATGGTTCATTGGTCAATGTTAAGTTTTTGTGTTTTGGTCTGTTTTTCTAATACTATAAGCAATAGGTCAACTATATTTGGTGTATGGAATGATTGTAAGGTGTACATGTCAGTCTGGCAGGTTTCATCTGACCTTGACCTCATTTTCACGGTTCATTGGTCAATGTTAAGTTTTTGTGTTTTGGTCTGTTTTTCTAATACTATAAGCCATTGGTCAACTATATTTGGTGTATGGAATGATTGTAAGGTGTACATGTCTGTCTGGCAGGTGTCATTTGTCCTTGACCTCATTTTCACGGTTCATTGGTCAATGTTAAGTTTTTGTGTTTTGGTCTGTTTTTCTAATACTATAAGCCATTGGTCAACTATATTTGGTGTATGGAATGATTGTAAGGTGTACATGTCTGTCTGGCAGGTGTCATTTGTCCTTGACCTCATTTTCATGGTTCATTGGTCAATGTTAAGTTGCTCTTGTTTGGTCCTCTTCTCAGATACTATAAGTTATAGGTCAACTATATGTGGTGTATGGAATGATTGTAAGGTGTGCACGTCTGTCTGACAGGTTTCATCTGACCTTGAGCTTATTTTCATGGTTCATTGGTCAATGTTAAGTTTCTGTTGTTTGGTCTTCTTCTCAGATGCTATAAGTAATAGGTCAACTATATTTGGTGTATGGAATGTATTTTATTATTTAACTGCTGATTACTTACATTGAAATAGATTATTTTATAAAAATCTTTAAATAACATTAATAATGATAATAAATAATAAAAACTTTTAAGGGATCATTACTAAACCGTGATTAACAAAAACATTGGAAGGTGTGAAAATGTTAAAATAAGGTCACTCATGCATGAATGTTTAACATAGAATACAGTTCACTCCAGTCCCTTCATAAAGATTAATTGGCTGAATATGTACAGATTGAAGAACTTTTGAAATTTTGTTTGCACAACAGAATCACATTTACTGATTTTTGATACATATGAAATAAGATAAGTATTGAGATAAGTAAAAAATATTTTAGCATAGCAACATAAGATAAATAGATAAATAGATAATATGAAAATATGTCTTTTTACAATATTTTGATCAAAGATTGAAGATAATTTTAGTTTTTTTGTTTTTTTTTTTTTTTTGGGGTGGGGGGGGGGTCTTTCAGGTTCATCTCAAGGAATTGACAAATATTTATCCAGTTTCTGCAATGCCTTAAAACTTTTCCTTGTGCACAGGTTTGTCTGTACTCAAGAGGAAATAAAAAAAAATGGCCATATTTGTCAATCCCTTCTGATGAACCTTAAATCTAGATGAAAAATTATTTCATAAGAAATTTCAAAGTTTGCTTTTAGTAGTCATTTGACTTAATGTTTCAAAAAAAAAATTTGTATAATGCGATTTTATTTACTCAAATGTTGTTGCTATATTTGCCTGTGATTTATTAGCCAAAAGTGTATCCCATGTGATTTTATGATGCTGTTTTTTCTAAAAACATGTTACTCAACATGAATGTAAAAGCATTACAGACCTATATTTAAGCCTAAGGTCAAGGTAACTAAAAAAGACTAAAATTTGAACATAGGTTTCAGGATGTATTCAATGGGATTGCAACTTAACTTGGATATGTAGCTACATAAATTAACAGAAAGAAGAGGAAGATCCCTGGCTATTGTTTTTCAAGTCGCTATGTCTTAGTTCGAGGTCCTATTTACTAACAATAGATTTGCAGAAGACCATACTACTGTCTTAAATCATGATTTATATGGGGGCCATGGTAATGTGAGCTTGCTCACTAAAGGTCTATTATATTTCATTAAGAATGTCAAGAACTGTAAAACAAAATCTACAAATATGCAAATATTACTCAAATCATCAGATCACTTATTCAAAGATGTATTTCCCTTTCATGCTTTTAATGCTAAGTAGTCACTTCCTTTTTAAGCTTACCTGGCCAAAATTGCCAACTGGCAGATAAGTGATAAGTTCATAAAATTTTCTGTATGGAATGAATGGTATGTGTATATGTCTGTCTGACAGGTGTCATCTTACCTTGACCTCATTTTATGGTTCATTGGTCAAAGTTCAGTTTCCTCAATGAGGTTTGTTTCTAAGATACTTTAGGCAATATATGTTAAATAAATTTGGTGTATGGAATGATTGTACGGCCTACATGTTTGTCTGATAGGGTTTATCTCACCTTGACTTCATGTTCATTCATCATTAAAATGTTAATTTAATGTAAAGCTTATATAAACTTATTTTTTTTACTTTCAACATAAATTCAATTATGAACACTAAAACAGGCGAGACATTTCAGTGTGTCCACTCTTGTTGTCTATTGATACATTTTACCATTATTGAAAATTGATTAATCAATCCCAAAAAATGTGATCTTAATGTTGTGAATTACTATTTGCACTCAGATTTTAAAAATAAGGAGATGTTGCAATATTGCCAATTAGACAACTATCCACCAAAGACTAAAAGATGGGCATTTAAACATCTATAGATCACTTTACAGCATTCAACAATGAGCAAAACCCATACCCTATAGTAAGCAACACTTAATAGATGCTTAGACATTTTTTTATCTACCTATTGCATGCTTAATTAAATATAATCAGACCGTAAGCATCAAAGTTTGGCCTTATCTTGCCAAGAGAGGTAATGAAAGTCAATGTCAGGCTTGTGTCATTATAAAGCATGGAGTGCTAAAACAAACCAGCTACATTGTATATTTGTGCCAAAGTTGGACTTCAGTAATTATAAGTTTCTGTTGAGAGAAAAAATTTATCCAACTCTTTGTTAAAAAAGCAGACACAGCAACAAAAAGTAGAAAATAACTGAACTATGTTAATAAATTACTTACAACAACAAGACTTTATTACAATGACCTTTCACAATTAAAAAAGAATGAAATGATGCAAAATTGGAAAAATACAGCATTTAAACAACTACGGAAAACAAATGCACATTCTCAAACGAAAAAGCTGATTTGAATCTATTTCCACTGGTACAATATATCATCCGATCAACAGGATATGCAATAATAATCTTATTTCATGCAAATTCATCTTGTGTTCCTTGTGTTGATTTCATGTTAGCTCCCCTCAGTGGAACTTTGGTGGACTGAAAATTTTATCACTGTATTGTCAGTTTTTGAGAGAACAAGAGCCGACTATACATAAAATCAGCTTGAATGAATAATGCATTAAACATTTATTTTTATCATTTTGAAGGCAATATTTATGTGATGAATGTAAAGACAAGAAAAATCAACAGTTTGACCAGACAGGGTGGTCAACAGAAATAGCTGAGGTAAGGTTGATTGAATAGCTATTTAAAGTGAATCTGACAGGAGAGTTAACAGAAATAACTAAGATCAATAAGTCCTGTGTAAAGAAAGGGGGATTCAGTAATGCTTAGGACCTGATGTGCATCCAAAAAAAATTCTGTATTGCTTGTTCCATAGTAATGTGCTAAGTTGATCACTTGATCTAATGGTGCTGCGACAGATTGCTCTTGTAATTAACCTATGATCACCTTGTCCCATGATTTTAAGATCCTCACAGAAATAGCATATGGTCAATTTTTTTGAATTAATGCGTTACACCTGACTAAGTGGTCCATAAAACTCTGTGATTCGGTCCTGATTGAATTGAAGGACTCAATTAGTGTTCTTCAGAGACCATTTCACAGCCACAGACCCATGATGCCATTTTTAGTTCAATCAAATATGAACCTTTTTTATGACAATGTGAGCTGCTGTTTTTATACGCCCGTTTACGGGACGTATTATGGTATACCTCTGTCGTCAACATGTCGGACAATAACTCAAAAACGTTTTAACCAATTTGCATGAAACTTTGGTGAATTGTTTATATTTAAGTCTCCCAAACGAAGTTTGGGAAGACTTATTGTTTTTGCTCAGTTCTTATTATTATTATTATTCTTCTTCTTCTTCCGCCGCTTTTAAATTTGAACTTGTCCGCACCCGTTCTCCAAAACCGCTTGTCAGATTAACTTAGGGTTTCACAATATGTTAGACTAACATGTCTAGTGGTGCAATCAGGGTTTTGTTTGTGCAATGGGGTTTATAAAGGGGTACTTTGAGGGGCAAAAAGAAAAGAGGGTTTTACTATAGAACCCTATGGGATTTTATTTTTTAAAATTTTCAAATGATTATAAATTGAAAACCGTTTGTGATAGACACAATCTTTTTAATTGAAAATGTTCTAAATGATAAAGCCCATTAAATGAAATAGAGGGTTAGTCCCCAGGGGTCACCCCCACCCCCTGCCATTTAAGAAAGTTCTAATACCTTGTAAGTGGTCAAGATCCCCACCCCTAAACCATATATATTTTGGTTTGTTATGCTAAGATGGTTTGAATGATATACAGGATTAGTCCCCAGGGGTCATCCCGACCCCCTGCTATTTGAGAAAGTTCTAATATCTTGTAAATGGTCGAGATCCCCACCCCCAAACTATATATATTCTGGTTTGTCATGATAAAGCACATCAAATGTAATACAGGGTTAGTCCCCAGGGGTCACCCTCACCCCCTGCCATTTAAGAAAGTTCTAATATCTTCTAAGTGGTCAAGATCCCCACCCCTAAACCATATATATTCTGGTTTGTCATGCTAAGATGGTTTGAATGATATACAGGGTTAGTCCCCATGGGTCATCCCTACCCCCTGCCATTTGAGAAAGTTCTAATATCTTGTAAATGGTCGAGATCCCCACCCCTAAACCATATATATTCTGGTTTGTCGTGATAAAGCACATCAAATGAAATACAGTGTTAGTCCCCAGGGGTCACCCCCACCCCCTGCCATTTAAGAAAGTTTTAATATCTTGTAAGTGGTCAAGATCCCCACCCCTAAACCATATATATTCTGGTTTGTCATGCTAAGATGGTTTGAATGATATACAGGGTTAGTCCCCAGGGGTCATCCCGACCCCCTGCAATTTGAGAAAGTTCTAATATCTTGTAAATGGTTGAATTCCCCACCCCTAAACCATATATATTCTGGTTTGCCATGATAAAGCACATCAAATGAAATACAGGGTTAGTCCCCAGGGGTCACCCCCACCCCCTGCCATTTAAGAAAGTTCTAATATCTTCTAAGTGGTCAAGATCCCCACCCTTAAACCATATATATTCTGGTTTGTCATGCGAAGATGGTTTGAATGATAGACAGGGTTAGTCCCCAGGGGTCATCACGACCCCTGCCATTTGAGAAAGTTCTAATATCTTGTAAATGGTTGAGATCCCCACCCCTAAACCATATATATTCCTATTTGTCATGTCTCGAACATTTGAATGACTTATACGGTCAGTCCCCAGGGGTTCCCCCCACCCCCAATGTTGTAATATCTTGTAAATGGTTGAGATCCCCACCCCTAAACCATATATATTCCTGTTGGTCATGTAATGAACATTTGAATGACGTATAGGGCCAGTCCCCAGGGGTTCCTCCCCACCCCCAATGTTCTAGTATCTTGTAAATGGTCGAGATCCCCACCCCTAAACCATATATATTCTTGTTTGTCATGCCAAGATGATTTGAATGATATACAAGGTTAGTCCCCAGGCATCACTAATGCATATAACTTTACTGGACCAAACCAATTTTCACTGGACGTTGCCCAATGTCAGGCGACCCTGGGAATTACGAATTATGGGAGCTTCGTTTGGGAGACTTCGTAACAGCATCCTGTTACAATCATTTCTTGTTATTGAATTGAGCTCCCTTTCGAATTTTATAAATTTGAGAATTTAAGTTTCCGAATTGTGGGGTTTTATTCATTAAAAAAGGAGGATTTTCCAGTTTTCGGACAATACCTCAAAAAATGCTTTGAGCAGTTTTCATGAAACTTTGGTGAATTGTTTATATCTATTGACGTGAGCTCCCTTTCAGTTTTTATAAATTTTAGATTGATATTTTGTTGCTGTGTCTGTTTTCTGTCAAAAGAGACAAATTTCTAATAACCTCAATATCTAATTCCCACTTTCTCCTAGGATGATAAAAATTTGTAAGGAGGAAGTTCATGATGAAACTTTGTTAGCAAGTCTTTGATCTCATTTATATGTTTTGTGATTCAGATTTAGTTTCCAGGATGGTCTTTTTTAATGAGTCCCCATTACATGACCAATATGGTAGATGTTAAAACTTTATGCATAGAATTAAAAAAATGTGATTAAATAATCACTTTTGTTGTTTTAGTATGGTTTTAGATGGAATATTGTTTAGATTTTCTACATGGGTGCCACTGGGGCACAGATTTTTTACTTTGGAAGTTATGAACTAGTACACAACAAAGTCTTTTTCTCTAAAACAAGCAGATTAGTTTGCATAAAACTGACTTAAATCTTCTCAGAAGGGTATGTTGTTAATAAATTTATCCCATGATGGTGCCTTTAAACAGAGAATGTATATTTACATTACTGGTAATGTTAGTGCTGTTGTATTTTCTATTTGTAGGATATACCACAACAAATGAATGGTAGTGATTGTGGAATGTTTGCATGTAAATTTGCAGATTATATAACAAGAGAGGCTAATATCACTTTTGAACAGGTAATAAACATATTTAATATTCAATATTCATTTCCTGTAACATTCAAAGAAAATGCTCTAGAGCTGACAATCTTCCACTTAACAAGTTAACATCCATATTGTTAAGACACCTGATGAAGACCACATGTTTACTTTTAGATGTCATTTGATATTTATTTATACTGCCATTGTGGTCTCATGGTAGCATGCTCGACTTAAGTGTGGGAGGTAATGGGTTCGACCCCAGCCTGGTCACACCAAAGACTTGAAAAATAGTATTTGCTACTTCTTCGCTAAGAACAGTTATGAGTGAGAGAAAATACTGGTCAATTTGGAGTCAGAATAATGAGTGGAGGTTGGGTGACATGTATTTCTGCAGACTGGTACCAACTCAGTATGTCTTTTAGTACAAAGCAGGGTTTATATTCATATGGCATTATCATGTTCTTGTCCTGAATATGCAATTAATTTGCCACTGGATGCTATACTGCCATCCATCATCATCTTTTGGTATTTCTTGTCACTGGGTTGCTGTCTCAATGATCTCCTTTTATCCATATTTTAATAATATACTGCCATTATTAGAGGACAAACAGCTTGAAGTTGAATCTGTTCCCTGCTAAAGTGGGAGATTTGACTTCACTGTCAGGATCTGTTCTCTGCTGAAGTGGGAGATTTGACTTCACTGTCAGGATCTGTTCTCTGCTGAAGTGGGAGATTTGACTTCACTGTCAGGATCTGTTCTCTGCTGAAGTGGGAGATTTGACTTCACTGTCAGGATCTGTTCTCTGCTGAAGTGGGAGATTTGACTTCACTGTCAGGATCTGTTCTCTGCTGAAGTGGGAGATTTGAATTCACTGTCAGGAGGAGTCTTGACTTCCCAGTGAGATTTCCATATTAAAATAATCATTGAATACTCCCAATGATATATATAGAATTCACACTTGTTCTTAACAAGAAAATTACCCCATAAATTAATTCTTTCATGTTTAATATCTTAAGTCACAATTAATAATTGCATTACTTTATTATTTTTTTTCAGAAACACATGTCATATTTCAGACGAAGAATGGTGTATGAAATTGTGAAGAAAAATTTACTTCAATGATGACCAATTAATAGTTCAAAATATTTTATGTGATGCAAAGACCATATCAACATGAGGTCTCACAAGGTTGAGGCATTGAATCGTCAGGAATCCCCATATGAGTGGAATATTGCTTGGATTATTGTGATCAAGTACTGGTACATTTGTTGTGATTAGCGATGGAATATAGGGTTTTAGATAAACAGAGATCAAGTTGGGTCAATTTTAAAGAAAGACTAGACAATTTTCATTTTTATGCCCCTGCCGTAACGGAGGGGGCATTAAGTTTAACCCTTGTCTGTCAGTCCGTACGTCCCAAAGTTGGTTTCCATTCTCTAACTTTAGTTAGCCTCAACCAAATGTTATGAAACTCATACACAATGCTTATTACCACAAAATACAGATCAAGTTTGAATTTTGGTGGTGTCACTTTAACCGTTCTAGAGTTATGCCCTTTTACAAATGGAAAAATTTGCTGAATTTTTCGTTTCCGTTCTCTTACTAAAGTAAGCCTCAACTAAATGTTATGAAACTTATACACAATGCTTATTACCACAAAATACAGATCAAGTTTGAATTTTTGGGGTGTCACTTATATTGTTCTAGAGTAATGCCCCTTTACAAATGGAAAAATTGCTGAATTTTTCGCTCCTGTTCTCTAACTTAGGTTTGCCTCAACCAAATTTATGAAACTTATACACAATACTTATTTCCAAAAAACTCAGATCAAGTACAAATTTGGGTAGGGTCACTTTTACCGTTCTTCAGTTATGTCCCATTATAACTTTTTATGATATGCAAGCGGGAGCATCATCTGTGTCCCATGGACACATGGACACATTCCCCATTTATTTTTTTTTGGGGGGGGGGGGGGGGGGGGGTGATGTTGAAGACTTCATATTACATTAAACAAATTAAATGATTTTAAGGACTGTTTTCATTGAATATTATTTTTGGGAGGATATCTCAAAAGGCATGTGAACTGTCAGAGTATACAAGTCATGGTTTCCAAAACAATCTTATTTTTCAGACAAGTCTAAAATTATAAATGAGTCTGATCAATAATTGACTGTCTAGAATATTACTGGTATTAATGGACTTAAGGCTCACTCATCTTATAGTACAAAACGAAATCATTGTTTAAACAATTTTTTTTCTGGACTTTTCCCTTAACATAGGCATGCTTTACCAAACAATGTATGAGAAATTCCTGTAGAAAGTCTGAATTAAGATACCCTATTATCAAATCCATCTTTAACATTGTTAATTAGATAGTTGGCTACTGAATTTTTCACAGAACAATTTCTCTTGGGTGTAAAATAGATATGTCTTTAAAACAATAATAAACTATCTGTATATGGTTTCTTTCTATTCATTTGAATATCACAAAATTAATCCCACTGAAGTCCCAGCATTTAAATAGAATGCTTTGTCAGTTAAAAGTACAAAGTAATCATTTTCAAGCGTTCCTTTGGATTTGTGTCCTTGACCTTGTTTGGCTAGAATTCCAACAGTTGCAAAAGTAAAATAAACTAAAAATGGGATAGAAAAATGTATGACTGTCACAACTTTTTAGTGGAAACCCTGTTGCATGTGCTAAAATTTCAATGTTGTCAAGAAATGTATTTGATATTGAATCTCATGACAAGAAAATTTCTAACTCTGATATGGTTAGATCAGCACCAAAATCATTGTAACTGTTATTTGTACATAATAGTCTTATTATTAATATGTACAAGGTATATGTGAGGTCCTTACTTGTTGATGATTGTTAAGTTTATATGAAAATATCAATTATAGTTTGAAGTACTTGTATCTATTTACTTGTATGTGTATAATTTACAAAAAAAGGTACAAATATATCAGCATGGTCATGATTTTGTTGCAGAAAGACTAATTGATAGGATTCTATTCAACAATCTGTTCCTGGTGAAGAAATTTTTAATTCTAAAGAAAGATAAATCATAAGAAGTTCAATGTGCTATGATCTGTGTCTGTTGAAGACATTTTTTTAAGGAGGCAAAATAGTGGTTAGCAATGAGCTATGATCTGTAGCAGTTAATTTTACAGATACAAAATGTAGTTACTGATGCAATACAATTTCCTATGAATTGTTTCTACAAGTGCTAAAAATTTACTAGTCATCAATAAATGAATTTGTTTGTATTTTTTCTGTTCCAGTTGATTAAAGGTGAGATCTGTAGAAGATTGATGTCTATAGAATACTGCATGATGGGTGCAGGATAAGGAATAGAGCTTTATTAAATCACACTAATTTAATTCTTTCTTTAGATTTACTTCAAGGCAAAATGAGAGATTTAGCTTTTATCGTTTTCTTTTTTCCTTAAATCCTTTCAAAGAACAGCATACTGAATGTGATTTATAATTCTGTAATACTTATAGGTTTCTCCTTAAAATTCAGACAATATTGTTAAATTTCTTAATAAACAAAAATGGGTTTCATGTTTCAATTCCATTAATTTTGTCAAAATAGTGAAATATTGACCAGAATTTTAAGAAATAAGAAAATTGAAATGTCTGTTATCCAAAGTTTTTAATGTAGACACATTGAACTGAAAGCTCAGTAAGCATGTCTTAATTATTGATGTACATACCCTATCTGTAAAACTGTTGAGAACATTGTAAATATGTATATAATTTATGCATAGATTATCCACAGTATATCTGCTGTAGGTTGTAAATTTATGTGATAATAATAAAAGGTATGAAACAAAGTGTCTTAATCCATATTGTCAGTATATTTATTACAATCCACCTACAGCTATATAGGGGTGGGGGGCATCATGTTTTTTAGTTTGTATGTCCATCAGTCGTGTATCAGGTTAAAGGTTTTTATTAAGGTAGTCTAAAGTTGTGTCTTAATGTAGGTTACCTTGAAGTTTCAGTCACATCAACTTTAAACTTAGTACAATTTGAAATTTTTAAGATATATTTTAAATTATGGGTTTGACTCAAATTTGGCACTTAACAAAACATAAAAATATTTCATAGTGCAAGTGGAGTATGATGTCCAATGGAGACATATACTTGTTTCATCCTCCACATATAATTATAACACATAAATTCTGTTACTAGTATATGTTTGTTTCTCTATGGTTTCATTTTGTAAATATCATTAACCATAAGGGAAATTACCTTTTGGAACATTGTATCATTTTCAATCTGAAGTTTCTCATGTTAAAAAAAAATGCATTATATAGTTGTTTTGCGAGTTATCCTGGAGTCCTCTTATTGTTTGATGTCAACATATCATACAGATAAATCAGGTTTCTAAATTTCCTATGCAGCTTATGGTATGAGTGTTGACATTTCTTAAGAAAACCAGTTAGCATTATATTATTTCATCTGATCTTAATGAAGTTTTTCTATATATTGACTCCTCATGTCAAGATGTTTTAGAAATGTCTCAATGGAAATTGCATATCTCTTACTTTTTCTCAACTATAAGAGCTCTACTAAATTAGGGTTAACATCCAAAATTTGCGCTTTTGTTTTTAAGTAATGTTTTTCTGTAAAATTCCAGCTTGATTTTGTCCTTTTAACAAACATTGCACTTGTCAATTGTACATGGTACACTGAATTTTTGTTTCTTAAACAATTTGGACGAACATTTTCCCATTGTTTTTTTCTTAATCTGATTTTTCAGGAGTATTTAGTCAGGTATAGTGAGTTTTTAGGATTTTATTAATACTGAAATAAGATAATGAAAGCTGCTATAAAATTGTATCCCTTTTTCACAAATTGTGAAGGCTGTTTCTGTAATGGTAAGTAATCTCTAACATTTATTGTAAAAAGTATGAGAAATATCAATTCATGAGGAAAATATTAAGCCACAACTGTAAGGAAAACTTGTGTCAATTAACCAACTTATCCCCAGATGGTTATGAATGACTGTGACTTGTACTTAGTACTGACTACTGCATTTTTGCCATTTTATATTATTGATTTTAAATTGTGTTAGCGAGCAGAATTTACGAATGTATTTTGTCTTTATAACTTGTCATTTTGTATCAAAGCTCATACTGTTAATTTTTGTAAGACAAAACTTTGAACTGTAATATAAAAAATATTATTTGTGCAATAAATGTTTAAACTAAGAATTTTATTTCTATGTTTACCAGTTTGTTTACATTACTTGATTTCAATGGGATCTATATGCCACCATATTTAATGTGAATAGATTTTGCTACCACATTTCTCATAGCAATCATTGTTGTGTAAATGGGATTTACATTTTATTCTCAGTTCAAATATTTAGCAAATGAATAATGAAAGGAATTCTTTCTATAAGTTGAAAATATGTCTGCATGTTTTAGGAAGACTGTGTTGCTGTCATATTAATTTTAAGATTAAATCACTCAAATTTCTATAACAAATGTTTAAATGCCAGAAAGTTGATGTCTAGGGGAAAATTTACTGGTAGACCTTTATTAAAACTTAACTCTTTTTCTAACCTTAGCCCACCTAGCCCATAGTGCCATGTTAAATTTTGTCATCACTTAGCCTCTGTCATTCAGAAATTGAAATTTCCATCAACTCCTCTGAAACCACTAGGTCAATTTGAACCAAATTTGTCTTAAAATGATATATTAAAAACAAGAGGCAGAAGATATCAAATGGACAATCAAAATTCATATCGAAGAAAAAACTAACAACCAATTGCGAAAAAAAAACAACACACTACATAAAAAACTAAAGAATTGGGTACTTTATTATAGAAAATCCTCATTTTCTGTGGATAGGTTAAAAAACATGGCTGTTCAAGGCATTCTTTGTTCTGGTATTAGCCAATTTTCAAAAATTGTCTCCTCTGAAACTACAAGACCAATTCTAACTAAACTTGGCAGGAATAATGTCTGAAAGATCCTTAATTTTATTAAATTTCCATATTTTGTTCTAATCAGGATGAAAAACATTGCTGTCATAAGCAATCTTTTTAATTGGAATAGCCAATTTTCTGAATATGCCAGGTTGAAATATTTGAATGTTTAGGTAAATGATGAGTGGAAGTCCCAGTTGGTAATCATGGCTGCATTGATGGCACAAAGTTACCATTTTAACCTATGGAAAATCTTATTTTATGTCATCTTCTCTGAAAACTTCTTGGCTAATTTTAATCAAACTTGACAGGAATGATGGGCCAGTATTTAAATATCCTCCTCTAAGACTGAAAGTTGAAATATTTTAGAATATTTTGAAACATATGTTGTTGATAATTAGAAGACCCCTTACAAACCCTCCTTAGAAATTATCTTTACTTGTTAATTTTTTGTTGGGCCTGCGACTTCTGTCACTGAAAACGAGACATTGGGAAAGTGATCCGGCTGAGGCAATGGCAGCAGTGTTAACTAATTACTTAAAAGCTTAATATTTCAGAAGGTAGAAGACCTTGAATGCTTCATACTTTGCATATAGATGCCTTATGTTATGAAGTTTCCCTCTGTCATATTTCCATTGTCCTTGACCTCATTTTCATGGTTCAGTGACTACTTGAAAAAAAGTTAAAAATTTTTGTAATGATAATTTCTCTCTTATTATGAGTAATAGTATAACTATATTTGGGATTTGCATACCTTGTAAAGTCCTCAAGCCTATCAGACAGTTTTCACTTGACCTTGACCTCATTTCATGGATCAGTGAAGGTTTTCGTGGTCAAGTCCATATCTCAGATACTATAAGCAATAGGTCTACTATAGTTGGTGTATGGAATGATTGTAAGGTGTACGTTGAACTGGCAGGTGTAATCTGACCTTGAACTCATTTTCTTGGTTCATTGGTCAATGTGAAGTTTTCCTGGTTAAGTTTGTTTCTTAGATACTATATGCAATAGGTCAACTATATTTGATCCATGGAATGATTGTAAGGTGTTCATGTCTGTCTGGCAGGATTCATCTGACCTTGGCCTCATTTTCATGGTTCATTGGTCAATATCATACACCTATTAACTGGTTATGAGGGTAATAGCAAATTTGTTGTCCCTGAGATACCAACTATTGCTCAAGGCAAAGCCAAGGGCAATAGTTAGTATCAAATGGACAACAAACTTGTTATTATCCTCATAACCAGTCATTAACTATACCAGTGGCAGATCCAGAAATTTTCATAATTTGGGCCCACTGGGCCCGCTCCAGCCATGCTTCAGTGATTCCCTATATACTCAACCAAATTTTTCCCCAAAAGGGGGGCCCAGGCCCCCTGAAAAACCCTCTAAATCCGCCTCTGTATACTGAACTGAACAAAATAACTTTCTAAAAAGTCTACATACACCATCTGAAAGAAAAGAAATTGTCACATAAACATGCACAAGATGAACTATAAGTATTTTTATAGTCCCTGTGGTATTTGTAAATATTTTATTTACTGTAATCAAGACCTGGAATCCTTGTTTAAAAAAATCCTGTGCATATAATAAACGCTAGCTAAAGTATTATTATAAGACAACAACAGACCCATACCATACATTTATTATGTTTTAGATCTTAAATGTCGCGTAGATTTTCTTTTTCTTTTTTAATTGCTTCTGGAAAGTAATATATTTATTTGAAAATACGACGATAGACACAAACAGATTATACCGTTTACGATATTTCAGAGTTTAACGTTGCCAAGCACACAAATCCAAGCAGAATAGTCAATGACGTCATTATTGTCCAATGAAAAAGTAAGGGAAATATGATTATAAAACTATTGACTGGGGTAATAGTCTTTGAAACTATTTACTGGCAAATAGTCTGTGGAATAATATAGCACAAATATTTCATTCTTTTTTTTTATAGAAAAAACATACTGAAGTATAATAAAAAGTGTTCATGGTTTGTCTGTTTCTTGTATACTTTTAAGCGATAGGTCAACCATATTTGGTGTATGAAACGATTGTAAGGTGGCTTGGTTTATGTGACCTTGACCTCATTTTCTTGGATCATGTTAAGTTTAAGTGATATTTTTAGTAAAACTTAATATTTAGGACTATCAACATAAAATAAATGATAAGTAAAGCAGGCGAGACATTTCAGCGTGCAATCATGTGTTAACATCTTATAGGAACATTAGTCAATATTCTGCATAGATATAAGGTGAGTGATACTGGCTTCATTGTGTCACCATTTAAGAAACAAGTTCCCAATAAAATAGTATGGTAATATTTTACCTTCTTGGATCTTTAAAGATCAAGATTTTTGTCTTGCCTGAGACGAAGTTCGCAGAATGCGAGACATGGATTACAATCCTGCGACAGTGGTGTAAACTATTTGTTATATGCTTTATTATTCAGAGACAAGAAGACCTGGAGGCTTCATATCTTGTATAGAGATGCCATATGTTATGAAGTTTCCTTCTGTCTTGAGTCAGTTGTCATTGACCTCATTTTCATGGCTCCCAAGGGTGACTGAGGAATAGAAATTACTTACTTAGGTTTTCTTCTGACCGGCAGTAAAACCTTGCCAAAGTGGGTATACCCTCATATTCCAGTGTCAGTCCAAATTTCTACGATTTCCATCCTAGAAGGCCTCTATTACAGGACATACCTATTTTAAATTCGTTCTTGTCCTGAACATGCATGAAATATTTGCAACTGAACATTAAGCAACCAACAATCAATCATTTTCATGGTTCAGTGACTGCTGGAAAAAAGTTAAGTTTTTTGTCATGTGAATTTCTCACTTATTATGGCAGGGTTCACCTGACCTTGACCTCATTCCATGTTGTGTGATAGGTCC